ACCAGAAAATCAAAACTTGTAATCAGTGCTAAATTAGAGGAGTTGGGAGATCATACAACACACAGAGATATGAGCTAGAGAAAGTGGGGAGAAAACTGAATCAGAAAATATGAAAAGAAAAAAAATAATTTCATGATTTTAAACCCTATATTTTAATGTCCTCAATCCGTGGCTGGATTGTACCTCCCCATCCCTGGCCAGCACCAGGAGCCCTCACTCCTGGAGGTCTGTGGAGAGCCAGGATCAGCCCCGGGAGGGGGACAGCGACAGCATGAGCTTGGTCAGAGCAAGGACCTGACAAACAGCTCTTGGAGAAACCACGCAACAGGGGGAAGGGCTGAGATGTGGACAGGAAGACCATAAATACCCCAAATAAATCCCCATGATAACTCTTGAATTTCTTGATACTTGGCCCACATTTTGGTGACCAGCTCACTGACACTCCCTTGGCTGCTCCGTTCCCTCCTCGAGCTGCAGATCCCGACCCCCTCAAAGGACGGACAGAACATTGGATCCGAGCATGCAAACCCTGCTTACTGCCCACAGATCTTGTTCCAGCACAACAGGCAATGCCATGGGCCCTACCAGAGACATGCTCACACACTGTTTGCTCCAAGCAGCTGCCAAAATCCAAGGAGCTGCAAATCGGCTTCGTGCTGGAACAGGACAGGATGGATCTATCCCAATGCTTACGGCCCTTTCCATGTTCTCCTGGAGCAGGGCCATTGAGGCAGAGCATCCCCACTGGCCTCCTCCTCCTTCTGCACTGGGGGAGCTGGTGCTGGTTCCCAACCAGCCAAGGCCATCACTAGAACCTCCCTCCAACACCCTGGGCACTTCAAGGCAAAGGGAACCCAAGGGGTGATTGTCTGGAGAATTGGCAGCACGACTGGCAGGACTGATCTGGGGGCATTTGGCACATGGACAAAATGTTCCTGGTTATCCATCATCCAACATCCAACCTTAACGACACGATTTTGGTCCTTCACTACATACTTATATTAACATTGTTTCTTCACAAGAATGATACCTAATGCAAAAAATACTGTTAAGGAAGAAATAAAATAAGAAAGGAATTAGCCCAAAATTACAAGTTATATACAGCTTAAAATAAATTCCATCAGGAAAAGAAACAATTCTTTTATTATTTTCAGTTGGCCCCTGTGGGAATAATTTAAAGGCCAAGTGCCTGGGCAGGGCTGTGCTGCAGCTGCCACAGTGGGGATGGGATGGGGTGGGATGGGATGGGACAGGGCTGTCCCTCCCCTCTGCAGAGCCAGGGTTCCTCTGACAGTGTTGGCTCTCGGGCTTCCCCTGCCCAAGAGCTTTGTGCAAATACATGAAGCAGTTCGGTTACACTGACTGGTGTTCTCAGGGCCTTGGGCACTTTCACAGGATGTTGTGGAAAACCAAAAAAAGGAGGATAAATTTTCTTGGGAAACACGCTGATGCTGCTAATTTACCTTTTGTTCCTTCTGTACCAAAGCCATCTTCAATGTTTTCCACCATGAACAGTTTGAGGCTCCCAGCTCCCCAAAAACAGCCTCAGGTGTGCTCTCGGGAGCAAAGCTGACCTTGCAAAGAGATCACTCCCCCCACCACCTCTGCTTTACTCAGGGAGGTGGTTCCGTTGTTTTGGCATGATGGAATGAGGCTTCCCACTCTGGACTGGCTCAGAAACCTCCATCTGCCCTTTTCCATACTGAGCAGGCAGAGGGGCTGCACGTGGCTTCCAGAATCGTTCCGTAAATCAATGTTATCTCCAAATTCCCTGCTCCAACAGCAGACTGCAATTGCAATGGAGAACAGCAGAAAGCCCAGAGGATTTCTGGAGGCTGCTGTGTATCAGCAAAGGAGATGAGGCTTTGAAGAGATTTAAAATCACTCACAAAATATCTGTGAGCAACTTTAGGGTTGGAGAGACAACTCGATTCTTATCTCTGTGCCCGAGCAGAGCTCTGCACCCTCAGGCTGCTGGAGCATGGAAATGTTAACCTTTCTACTGAAATTACAGGCCAAGCAGCAGCGGGTGGTGCAGAGGCACCGTCCAACAGGCCAGAACAACGGCGTGAATCAGAGATCTCTGCCACAGCCCCAGATACCATCAGCACGGAATGATGTCACCCAAAACCCCCGGGAGATGACACAGGAGAAGATGTGTCTGAGTTGCCCTCAGTGGGGTGAGACTCGCTCAGCACACGTTTCCTTGTGCACAGCCAGGGAAGGGCTCACCCTGGGATCTTTCTGCTTGGGGAATTCCAAGCACTGCCAGGAGCTCCATCACTCCCGAGTGCCACCACCACCACCACCCTGGCTGGGCACGGCTCTGTCCCAGACACTGTGACACTCCAGCCTGGGCACAGCTTGGGCTGGCAGCACTGGCAGGGATGGGGAGCCCTCTGCCCTCTCAGGCAGAGGGTGCTCAGGGCACAGCCGATGACCCACGTTGGTGTGACACGTCCACACACCGACCCCAGCAACGTTCCAGGCTGGAGATGTCCCAGCTGGGACCTGCACGGAGTGTAGGATGACTCCAGGCCTCACCTCCGAGGAGCTTTGTGCCGTGTCAATGTTTTGTTGGGAACAAAGGACAGGATGGTATTTCTGTGGGAGCACAGATCTCTTTTGGGGGTCAGTGAAATGGGATGAATTTCCCTTCCCTGGTATAACTCCAGTGACTGTGTCAGAATTGCACCAGGGACAGGCCAGCCCTGGCTCTCTTCCCTCAGTACTTCCCTGCTCAGCTGGATGGGAAGGAAATGCTGCCGTGTGGTTCCGAGCTGCAGTTCCTGCTCAGGCTGGACTGGCTCAGTGACACTGGTTTGGAAGGTTGGAGGGGCCAATCTTTGATTGCACTGTTGCAATTCATGTCTTGCTCATGCTGTTCCTATAGACAGTGAAATCCTGGGGCTGCGTCAGGGTTATCCAGCTTGGGAGAGGTTCATTCTGATAAATTAGAAAGGAAAACTCTGGATGGGTAAAAATGCAGGACGTGTAGGTCGGATGCGACAGGTTTCCTTCTCAGCCCAAAGTTCAGACGACTCCCTGAGGCCCTCTCATCCATCTTCTGCTCGCTGGGATTTTGCAAGGATAGCTGCAGCACCACTGCCGCCTCGCTTGGACTCTGGCCAGTGCCTTGAGGACCTCTCAGAGGTGGTTGATGGGGTTAAAGGTCCCCGACTCTGAAGCTGCTCCTGCCATGTCCAACCAAGCACCCAGAGAGTTCTGGGAGGACGTGTGGAGGGGAGCGTTCTCAGACAGGGACAGCATCATTGCATAAGCCTGGGGGAGAGAGGAATGCAGAGGACACTGTGAACACCCCGCAGGACCCCGAACAGGGGGTGTGAGGCACAGCCCCAACCCCACACACTGGGGCAGGCAGCACCCTCTGGCCTGGGCCATAAACCCCCATCCACACACCAGGATGGCCCCCACCACTCCAAAGACTCGGATTTGCCACCGTTTACAGGCAGCTGTAGGGATAGTCAGGAGAGACCATCATTCCCACTGGCCCTTACAGGCCCAAACCCATCTCGAGCCAGGTCCCACAAAGTGACTGCAGCCTCTGCTCCCAGGGAAAGACAGCTAGTACTGGGGTTTGCTCTTAAAACAAGTACATCCCCAGAGAGGCCAGAGTCTCAGAGAGGCTGGGCTGGGGCGGGCACGAGCCCTGGAAATGGGGCAGCAATGCCCACAGGAGCAGCATCCTGGTGGGCACTGGTGGGCAGCTGCTCATCCCCACTCACTGCCTGGCATGAGCCCACTGGTGCCTGCAGACACCTGTATGGAGGTATTTGGGAACACAAAATGCTCACTGGCACTACTGGTGTGTTCAGATGTTCTGTCAGGGTGGATTTATTGCTGCAGCTAAATGATTAAAGGTGTTTTCTGGGAGAAACACACCAAGACTTCTGCACACACAACAACCACCTGGCTTCTTGGAACCTGGGTGCTCTCCCTCCTCCAGGACTGCTCATCTCACACACCTCTGTGTCCTTCCACAACCCCCACAAGTGGTGTGAGGACTGAGGCCAATGATAACCTCACACACCAGAGGGGAAAGCCAATGTCATTGTCACCCAGGAGAAAGAGGAGAACATAGTTGGTCCCCACCCTCCCTGGTCCAGGGCAGAGGAACAGCTTTGTGGTGCTGTGGACACACACACTTCTAAAACTGCTTAAAAGAAAGCCAAAGGAATGCTCTGCTGCTCACACAAATGTTGGTTTACTCTTACATTTCCAGCACAAGATATGGTTTGAATTATTTAAGTTGCTTATTGTGATTCAAGTGTAAAACTGATTCAAAAACCAAAAATACCACCCCTCCCCAGTCAAGCACAGGCTGGCCCTAACAGTGTGATACACATTGGAAAAGAGCAGGTTGTTCCTAGAGTTAGTGCATTTGGGATGTTAGTGACAGGACACATGTAAGAGTCTGGCAAGTGGCTTGTATTTAATTGAGTTTCACCCCCAAAAAAGCTCTGCTCAATCTTCCAGCAGACCCTCCCTCCCTCCTAACACCTGCTGTGAAGGGGGACAAGAATTTCACAAATTTTGGGTGATAAACCAAAAATCATGTTCTGCATGGCAGCACTAAACTACTGCTGTGCTGAATATTTGAAACAGATTTTATGATAAATTCTGTTGCTGGAAAATCAGAAAGAGCCTCTGAGGCCAGAGCTGGGCTCATCCCGTGCCAAGGGCTGAGTGTGCTCTCTCCAGTCCTTTTACATATGGTTTACTTTTAGAAATCAAGGAGATAAACAAGGAGACCCTCTAGACACGCTGGCCTGCAAGTCCTGGCAATGCTATTGTCTGTGACACCTTTTATAACCAAACCCAAGGGCATTTTGTTGCTGTTTCTGCGGAACAAACCTCGGTGTTTACAAACAAGACCCGTCTCAAAGTATAAATAAATAAAGAGCCACAGAAACATTTATACAGACAGATAAAAACAGACAAGATGCCTCTCTCTTCCTGTATAGCCACATTCTCACCACACGGGCTGAACAACAAATCCACCTGGTGCCCCAAAGGTGACGGCCAGTCCCTTCCTCTCTGTTTCAGTTGTTGCAACAGGACACAGTTCACTCACGATCCGTGTGCGTGTTAGAATTCCTGCTGGGAGGGGGAAATAAACCACTGCAGGGGGGAAGTAACCCACTAGAAGGGGAAAACAACCCTTTGCTAGAGGAGGGCAGCTGCTCCCTAATCCTACTGTCCGTGCTGGCGGCAAGCTTGGAAAACGTTCTGTGTATACCCACCTGGTTTTTAGCCTGCCTGTACAGAGTCTGTTTTATTGTCTCAGAGTCTAAGGTGGAATTAAACACATCTTTAACTTCAAATGCTTCCTCGGCTGCTTTGCGAAGATCCAGCCCCTTCCCAAAATTCGGCATCTGCTCCAAATCTAACAGGGCGGCTTCGTCCTCCTCAATACACCTGTACCAATGACCAGGGGTGAGCCGGGTTAGCTCGGCTGGGCGCCCACCCCTCGCCCGGTGCCTGCATGCACAACCCACGGGGGTCACAGCCACATGCGAGAACGGACGGACACACGGACACGGGAACCACACGGCATGGGAGGAGCAGAGAAGAAGTGGAGAGCAACAAGTGCTGCAGGTGTCTGAGGTTCTGCACCAAAACCAGCGGGGCACTGGGCTTGGGGAAGGTGTCACTTGGCATCCTGGCACATCTGCTGCCATGAGGCAAAAAGAGGGCTGGGCCTGCACTGTGGCATGGCTGTCTAGGCATGGCTGACCTTGGGGAAGTCTTTGCTTTTTATAGAATCATAGAATCACAGACTGGTTTGGGTTGGCAGGGACCTTAAAAATCACCCCATTTCACCCCCTGCCATGGGCAGGGACACCTTCCACCAGCCCAGGTTGCTCCAAGCCCTGTCCAACTTGGCCTTGAACACTTCCAGGGATGGGGCAGCCACAGCTTCTCTGGGCAACCTGTGCCAGGGCCTCCCCACCCTCACAGGGAAGAACTTTTTCCTAATATCCAACCTAACTCTGCTTTCTGTAAGTGTGAAGCCATTCCCCCTTGTCCAAGTCCTTATTAATAGTCTCTCTCCATCTTGTAGCTCCCTTCAGGTACTGGAATGCTGCAGTTAAGTCACCCTGAAGCCCTCTCTTTTCCAGGCTGAACAATCCCTGTTCTCCCAGCCTGTCTTCATGGCAGAGCTGCTCCACCCTTCTAATCCACTTGGTGGCCTGCTCTGGACTTGTTCCAGCAGCTCCATGTCCTTGCTGTGCCAGGACTCCAGGGCTGGAGGCAGCTCTGCAGGGGGGTCTCACCTGAGGGGGCACAGAGGCAGAATCCCCTTTTTGCCAGAGCTCTGAGGGCTCCACTTGCAGTCAAGGATATTTTGCTGTGACTCAAAGGGCCAGAGCAGCACCAAAGGGATTGCACAGGTGCCCCTTCCCTCGCCCTGGCCAGAGTTTTGAAGAGAAAGACAATATCTGCTGAGCTGTGGGACCCTGGGTTTTGTGTGGGACTAACTGTTCTCCTGATCCAGACTCCTGGAGCCTTGGACACACACCTCAGCCCAGACTCTCCTTGCAGTCCACTTGTTTCGTGTCCCCCACCATGGTGAAATGGAATCTCGAGTGAACGCTCAAATCAAACCGGAGGCATGAGAGACACGGCTTGGGAAAACAAACCACAGCACTGATGATCCACCACAGACACGGGGGCAGGGGCTGAGCCCCCTCCGGCCCCTCGAATGGAACAGCCCCCCCCTCACCTCCGGGTGTGGTCGAAGCTCATGGTGAGAGACGTGGGCTCCTCATCCTCCTCATCCTCAAACGCCCCTCGGGGCTCCGCCGTGGGCGACACCGGCTCGTCCTGGGACTTCCCCGTCAGGCTGTCGTCGTCCTCCTCTTCCAGTTCTTCGTCTTCGTCGTCCACATCTTCTGCTTTCTCATTTGCTAATCCATGACACTGGGAATTGCCGTCAATATCCTGGATTTCTGGCCTGAAATATTTGGTCGGGGGGGAGGGAGAAGGAGAGAGGAAAGAAAAAAAAGATGGCAAATGTGTAAGTCATGTACTTCTACTGCAATGCTTTGATAATATTATATATATATGTATATATATGAACACAGAGACATATTTATATACATACATAGATTATTTAAGACACAAGAAAAAGGAAAACCAACATGCCACAGGCACTGAAAAATCAGCCTTCACCATGTCTTAAGTATGGTAAGAATACACCAACCCCAAGGCTTTTCAAACTACAATAATGTCTACTCTGAATTTAAATGCTGGTTTTCAGTCTCTTGAAATATAACATCTGTGGGATAGGCAGATTTCCTCCTTCTCTGTGCTGCTGTATTCCAACAATCTCCCTTTGAGCAATCAGGAGGAGGAAGCTTCTACCAACCAGTTTAAATTCTCTCTCATATTATTTTACTGTTTGTGCCTGTACTGTCACCAGATAATTCTATTTTCTACCTTTTATCTGCTAAAGTTGACGCTTGATTCATCTCACTATTTGCAATAAAATTTCTGATTTCAGAGAAATACGAATCCTCTTTTTCATCTAAAAGTGCATGGTTGTCTGATTCCGAGTTTGGGGAAGAGGCACTGGTCCCGAGGTGGTTGGTGATGACTCCAGAGTGCTGGCTCACTGTGGGGAGAGACAAGGAGAGAACAGGAGACACCATCAGGTGTTGCCAAGGCCACCAGGAACAGGAAACATAAAGGAGGAACAGTCCCCTCACTAGATACTCATGAGTCAACAGTCAAGAGAAAACTCATGGCCCAAAGCTCCCAAAGGAAGTTTGTATTTCCCAGACCTGAACTACAGAGACAAATACAGGGGATATTTAGCATTTATGGAAAATAAATGCAATTTAAGAACCCTTATCCATTGCAGAGCTGTTTGCCTATAACTTTTCCATAATATTTTCTTTTTCACTATGCTGGGAAATCACTTCCTTGGTTTCAGCACAGGGATTTCCTCCTTCACTGTTTATCTTAAGGCAAAGCCTTAATTACCTTCTCGAACTCCACACCCCCACCAACCCAGCCCTAGGGAACAGTGCACTCCAGAGAGGCTTCCCAAGGGCCAGAGAGAGACCAGCCCACGGTGCCCTGTCCCTGCAGTGCCCCGGGAGATCCACGGCCACGGCCTGCCCTACCTGGCACGTTCTCGTGCTCGTGTTTCTTCAGGTGCCTGTCCAGGTTGGTTTGCTGCCCGAAGCACCTGTTGCACAGGTGACACTTGAATGGCTTCTCCTTGTTGTGGATGTTCCGGACGTGCCGCTGCAGGTTGGAGGAAATGCTGAATGACCTGTCACAGTATTTACACCTGAAAAACAGGAGCAAACGCCAAAGATTGCAGCGTGAGGGGGGAAAAAAAAGAAAAAAAAAAGAAAAAAAGAAAAATCTGACTATCAGAAAACCAGGGAATGTTGGTCTATAAATCATTACTCAGCTGAGGACATGGGAAGCACAAGGCATTAATCACTGCAGACAAATCTGATATTATTGTTACTCAAGGAGCACAAAGAAAGGGTTAGGATTAATTAGGAAGCAAGTCGCCCAAACAAATAAGGGTTTTAAACAAAGTAATTACTTTTCCACACATCAAGGTTAAAATAAGAAAGGTGGATTTGTTCCTTCCAACCTTCCCATTTTGGGAGGGATTAGGTGAAATACGGCTGTGGAGGGAGGACAAGGAAGAGGGAAGAAGAAAGAGGGGAGGTGAAATGTATAAAATAGTTATTAACAGGTGACAGTCTCAGCTGGCCACACAAAAAACTCCAGCTTTATTTGTGAAACTCCTTGTGGTGCTGGAGATCCAGGCCATAGAGTGTGTCTTTAAAGGTAATAATGGCTATTCTTTCTGTACAATAGCTCCCAAGAAATACAACATAATTTCCCAACAGGATTTACTCCTACAGATGAATATCTGGTTTAAGATGAAAAACTGGACCACAAGGAGTCAAGCTAGGATGTTCAGGGAAGCTGCTGAGGGAAGAAATATTCCCTCTTTGAGCTGAGTCCCTGCACGAGCCGTGGCAGACAAGTTGGGGGCCTGTTCAAAGTGGTCACCCTCCTTTCTGGATTCAGATTCCCTCCAAAAAAACCCAAGGATTTGCTCAGGCTGGTGCTGTGGGCTCCAACGGACTGAAGAGGGCAGCTTCGAGCCGCACTGCAGAGTTTTGGGAGCCTCATTCCCCTCGGAATCTGCCGAATCCCTCCTTAGGTCTCTCCCGTTAAACACATCCCTTGGAACTCAGCAAAGCTGCTTCTCTCGTGGCTCTGCTTCCACACCCACGAGCAGCAGAATCTCTCTCTGCTACAATCCTCCACAAATCCCGGACACTCACGGGACAAAATCCAAACTGCTCCCAAGCCCTTGTAATTCCAGGACAAATTCCACTCAGTTCAGCAGGACTGCTCCGAGCTCCTCCAGCCCAGAGCAACGTCTGCCCTGCTCAGCTGAGCTACTCCTCCATAAGAATCCAAGAATCCCCCAAAAGTCTGGGCTGGAAAGTCCCAAGACATGGAGATGGAGAGGGATCCACGCAGGTTTTGGGAAGAGCAGCAGCTCCTGATGTGCTCAGGGCACCCAGACTCACCCCGTGCCAGCCTCACTCGAGGATGAAACTGGATTTCCCTGGACATTTAGGACACGGGATTCCTCCCTACAGACACAACAGGTTCAACTGCAAGTGTAAAAAAGTCTCGGCTGTGAAACACCCCCCCCATTTCCAGATGTGTTCCAGCTGTGATTTTTATTTGGTCTCCAAAAATAAATTGATTATTATTTTTGGAAATAGCAGGGATACATTTATGAAACACTCTCTCTCGCTGAATGTTTATGGATTCCATGTCCGAATTTCCTACTGCTAAACCTCCAGAAAGAATAAAGATATTTCAAATAATGAACCTTTATTAGGATTAACCAAGGAAGAAAGCAAAATCTCTTTTTAAACCACAGCTTTTTCAGACTTCTAAAGTCTTTCCTTTTCATTCTTTCGAAAACCCCTAAACAACCTGAGAAAACATTACTTGAACATCAGCAAGAACAAGCACAGTTTCTACACGGGGAGTTAAACACAGACTTCCAGCACCAAGGAACCTGCTCTCAGGAGCTGCCAGGCTTCAGCAGCTCCTCCTGCTCAGCCCTTCAGAAAGCTGTGACATCCAGAACAGCCAATACCCCCAAATTCCTGCTATTCCATGGGATTTTCACGAGTAGTTTTGTCCAGCTCATCCCTGCTGGTGCCAGTGGTTTTCCCTTCCTGCCCATCTGCACCATCTCTGTGCCCTCCTGAGCCAAACTCAGCTCTGTGTGTGTGTCCCAGTGCCTGGCACACTGGATACCTGGCACAGTGGGCACCAGGGCTGCCCAGGTACCCAGCCTGGCTCTCCCTGAGTCCCTCCCAGGAGCAGCTCCAGCTGGTTCCGAGGCAGCTCTCCCACGGGCAGGGCAGGAGAGCTCCAGCCCCCTCTGTGTCCATTTATTTAGACGTCCAGGAAGTCTTTGAAAAGTTCCCTCTGACAGGTCCTCGCTCTCACAACGAGCTGTGTGCAGCCAGGGCAGGGCGTGGAGACAGGATAAAGAGCTTGTTAAAGAAATAGGAACCAGAGGGCCATGGGGAAGGAGCAGCTAATGCCTGGGAGCAAAGGGATGAGGGAGATGTCCGGCGTTATTTGTGGTCCCAGAGGGGTCAGTGCTTGGAACTCTGCTGGTTTTAATCTAAATAAATGACCCAGACAGAGGAACCAGCTTAAATTCAGGGGAGGGGTGAACAGGGAGGCAGGAGAAGAGTAAAACTCAAAGGCAGCAGCATTTGCTTTGCAAACACGCCAACAGGACACCAGCAAAGCTTCTCCCTTATCAGCTTAAAGTAACACAGCAATGGGCTAAAAACATCTAAAGTGGGAGTGAGTGACAGCAAAGAAGGAGCTGGAGCTGGAGCTGGGGGGCTCTGAGGAACCACAGACAATCCCTGGAGCTGGAGGTACCCGGGATAACACGGGTGGAGGGGGAAAACAGGGAGCAAACCCCGGGGATGTGGGAAGGAGTCCCTGGGACACAATGGCAGTTTTACACGGATTTGCTGATCAGTGTGAGCTGGAAAGGCAGAACTGCAGTGAAAAAGCACAAAACACACAGACAGCAACTCCTCCTCAGCCCCAAGAGCATTTATAGCAGGGATGAACTTAGGCTGCATTTTAAACACCAGGAAATGAGGAATATCTTCAATAAAGACATTTATTGAACTACATATGATCTGAAATGACGTGGCAGACATCAGCTTTAGTTGACAGTTTCAGCCTAATGCAAATAACAGGACACAAGACCTACAAGGGCCTTATGACTGGGTTTTGAAATAACCTACTCCTGAATTTTAGATTTGGTGCAAACAAAAGAGTGAGAAGAAACATTGAATTTCACTGTAGGGCACAGGGGCTCAGAGTCTTTTCAAATCAGGTGATTTTTAGGAAGTGCCTTGGCAGGTATTTCTCACCGTTCAAAAAACGTGTTTCACTTTCCCTTAAAAAAAATAATTTGCCTCCTTATTGTTCCTGTGCTAGTAATTTGTACTTTATACATAACTAAACAGACATCTAGGAGGCTTAAGTGACTTGATAAAAATGCTCACCTTGGTAAAAACTCTTGGTAAAATAATTTTTCACTGAAAATCAGGAATTGAAACCAAAGCACTTTTTTTTCTCGTCTTTTTCTTAATCTCCACGTGAACATCTGGTCAGTTTATATTGACTTTAAGAACACAAACTGATATTTGAATTAATATATAGCACTGACAGAATCAAAAGGAAAAGCATTTAAACAGTCAAAAGCAAAGTTACCAGGGAGACATCAGTAAACCCTCCTTTTACCTGCATGAAGTCAATACTTAAAAAAACAAGCTTTGCAAACAATTCCGGCTGCCAAAGCTGCAAATCTCATTTCTCTGAGAGCAAAAAGCAAATCAATGATAATTAAAGCTCCTCTGCAAAGGCAGCTCCGACCCTCCGGAGTGCTGTTAGACAGCAACACTGTCCAGGAGTCAGACCTCGAAAAAAACCCACCCAGGCCATTTTCTGGGAGAAGACCAGATCAAATAAATCTTTATTTTCCTAACCTTTGTTAAGTTGCAAGTCTCCTTTTTTGGAAGAAAACCGAACTAACAATCCCCGAATAATCGGGAGCGAGCGTTTCAGTGCCCAGGGAACACACAGAGCCCACTCCTCGTATCAAATACCACAGCCCCAAACACCACAGCAGGGACCGGGTCCAAGATATATGTCTGCTTTGGAAGGGGGGGTATTTTTAATTTACCTAACGTCTACTCAAAATTCTGTATGGAAAATACACGTGGCTCCTCACGTAGCAGCGACTACAATGCGGGAGAGTCGCCTCTTGAGTCAAACTGAGCATAAAAGTGTGATGTATTTGACCACATGGCCTTTTGCTGCTTATAAATTTGTGTTTCTCTTCATACAGTGACTGCCACATTGGCTTTGTTGTGAACTCATGGAAACGCTGCAGTGTCAGCTGCCCAAAATGAAACCGAATTGTTACTATTGTTTGACAACGTGCAAAACGCTCACTCACATCATGGAAAACAGAATGCTTGATTTGCAGCGAGCTCTCAATTCGTCTTTCCTTCAGGTTTGCTCATATATGGACCCAATTCTAGCAAGAAAGTGTGTTTTTGCTGAAGTTTTTTGAAACTGCCTGCAAAGGACTGGGAGAAAATACTGGGGGGGAAGATCCCTGCTTGGTCTTCCATGAGAAATAGTCATTTCTACACCTACACACACATACTACGCATATTTTCTTGTGAGTTTTATTCAAGTTTAAAGCCCTGAGTTAAACAGGAGCCCCTTTCTGAGCCACAGCACCAGCATGTGCTGGGATGGGACACTGTGCCTGCTCTCCAGAGGGAGAGTCTGTCCCTGTGCACACCCCCTGCACACTGAGGGGTCAAAATCACACCACCTTGTCCACAACTAGCAGAAAATAGTTCAGCTTTCTACCTGAAACACCCACTGAATGTGTGAGACAGTGTGTTAATCCCCCCCTCCCATCAGTCCCTTTAAACTTTGTGATTTAAGGTCAGACACCACCAAACCTCGATTTTAAAGCAGATAATTCTATAGGGTTTCTCTTCTCCTTTGTTTTTTTGATCCACTGCTCCAGGCACCTCTGACATACATCAGGAAAGGGAAAAAAAAAATCCATCCAGCCCCAGCAGTGAAGGTCCTGGCAAGCCCTTCAAACCAGCCCGAATTTCAGAGCCATTCAGCACCTTCAGCTGTCCTTGAGATGAATGGTTAATGTGAGTGTGAAACAACACTGCAAATCAGAGCCCTCCTTTGCCAGCATACATCTAAATATAAGTTAAGTGTCTATCTTCAGGCTGCCAAGCCTGATTATTTTTGGCTGGTACACATAATATACAACACTATGAATCACTCTGTGTAATGCTCCAGGCCCGTGGTGTTCTGCTGGCACAGCTTTATGGAGAGGGGAAGAAGTCCTGGCGTGGGGAGCGAGGGGGGTTTGGAAGGGGCTGCCCCGGGCCCGGCTCACCTGTAGGGCTGTTCCCCCGTGTGTGTCCGCAGGTGCCGCGTCAGGTTCGCTGAGCGGGGGAAGATCTTACCACAGTACCTGGGGAGAGACAGCCAAGGGAACCATCAGGGCAGGAGCCACTGCACAGCACACCCACCTCACCCACCCTCACACCGCCCCCAAAATCCCTCAGTGCACTCCCAGCTCCCTCCTGGACCGAGGGGGGAAGATGTGCAGGTCAACACCCACCCCAGGATAACAGGGGTCACAGAGGTGACGTGGGAGCACAGTCTGATGGGGAGCTGGGGGGGCCCAGCCTGGAGAAAAGGAGGCTCAGGGGGGACCTTCTGGCTCTGCAACCCCCTGACAGGAGGGAGGAGCTGGGGGGGGTCGGGCTCTGCTCCCAGGGAACAAGGGCCAGGAGGAGAGGGAACGGCCTCCAGCTGTGCCAGGGGAGGCTCAGGTGGGACATCAGGAGGAATGTCTTCACAGAAAGGGTTGTCAGGCGTTAGAATGGGATGCCCAGGGCAGTGGTGGAGTCCCCATCCCTGGAGGTGCTCAAGGAATGTGTGGACATGGCACCTGAGGACATGGTTTAACTACAGCGTTCCTTCACCAGGATACAGGGGTTTATTCCCTGCCTGGTCATCCTGTCAGGTGAGATGTTTATAGATGTCCTTTAGAGCCCTGTTTACTTGCTCATCATACAGAATCTGCTCCATCACCCTTGGAATTCACAGAATTTTCTCCTGGATAAAGGCTGCAGCGCTGGGTTATGGGGCTGACAAGCTGCTTAGAGCAAGGAGATGCAGCAACAGGAAATTAATAAAGGAAGGAACTGTGTTCCCCAATAAATCCAGTTCACAGTAAACTCAAAAGGTATAAATAAAAATACTAACTGGGAAATAAAATACTAAGGATGAGGGGCTGCACTCTGTGACTCTGCTGTAGGAGGAAGCTTTGAGCAGACTCTCTTAATTTCAGACACATTCAGCACCCTCAGATGTCCTGAGGATAAACAGTCCATGTGAGTGTTCCTCAACAACCAAAACACAAATGGTAACTCGTGAGTGTGTATCTAAATTTTAGTCCCTATTGTAAGTAAACCCCTCCAATTTCTAAATACTCAGCTGAAATTTGAGCCTGCAGCTTTTGTGGCAGAGCTGCACGTAAGAGATACATCAACCAAAGCATGTGCCCGTTTCTGCACCCAAAAAACCTCAGCAGGAGCCACCACGAGACCCTCGAGCAGTTGCAGCTACAACAGAGACAGAGGTTTGTTATTAAAAATCAGTGACTTGCTCCAAGAGGAGCTGTTGGAGCTGGGATGGGCACTCGAGGACTTCTGGGGGTGCAAGTGTGTTTGAAGAAGTTGTTTCCTGCATCCATGGTTTGCAATGCCCTCATTTTGCACAGCTGAGATGGACACAGCAGAGATGGACACGGCTGAGATGGACACGGCTGAGATGGACACAGGTGAGATGGACACAGGGGAGATGGACACAGGTGAGATGGACACAGGTGAGATGGACAGAGCAGAGATGGACAGAGCAGAGATGGACACAGGTGAGATGGACAGAGCAGAGATGGACAGAGCAGAGATGGACACAGGTGAGATGGACACAGGTGAGATGGACACAGGTGAGATGGACACAGGTGAGATGGACAGAGCAGAGATGGACACAGCTGAGATGGACACAGGTGAGATGGACAGAGCAGAGATGGACACAGGTGAGATGGACACAGGTGAGATGGACACAGCTGAGATGGACATGGCTGAGGCTGTGCTGGCCTTGGGAACCACAGCACTCGCTGCCACACACCAGGGCCTTGGCCTGGGGAGCTGGGCCCGCCTGAGAATCTCCAGATCCGCTCTCAGGGTTATTAAAAATTACAAAGCAAACAGAAGATGCTGATTTCCTCCCAGACAAAACAAGCTATTTCAGAGGGGATTAGTCATCCCAACGCTCTGGGCTAATTCTGCTGCTCCTCAGTTCCCCTCCCGCCCCCGTGGAGGCAGCGGAGATATCCCTGGTCCCTTGTGGTGCCCCAGCCTGGGGGGCATCTCCCGGGGTGCCCCCATGCCCTGGGGATGCTCTGGCTCCCCGGGGTGCCCACCCCTCACCTGCAGGTGTAGCGTTCCTTGCCCTTGCGCAGGATGGGGTCGGACAACGTGGGCGGCGGCGATCGGAAGTTGAAGGGGTGGTGGGGAAGGGGCTGCAGGGACGTGCCAGTGTCTGCCTTCATGGCTGCAAAGCTCTCCAGTTTCTCCGTCATGGTTTCGATGGCTGACATCTGCAAGGACAAGGCAAGACCTCGTGTCACAAACACCCACGGGAAGAGCAGGAGCTGGTGCACAAAACGCGACTTGCAGCTCCCGAGGGTCGGTCAGAGCTTGTTGTTGATGTTTGCTCTCACTCTTGGAAGCTGCACAGTGGGAAATGGAGCCACTGATCCCAGCCAGGGAAGACAGGAACAGTGTACTGGTCTTGGAGAAATCAGGAAAGACACAAATGGCAAAGCCAGGACTTCAGATCCCAGAAATCAGCACTTGTTCACCTTCTGCAATGTGCCTGTGCTCGCTTTTAGCATTTCAGAGTAAAAGTTATCTCAGAATATGCCTGTTTGCCCTTTTTCCAGGAATAAAACTGAAACTAAGCACCGTGGTCAGATGCCAGAGGTACAACTCAGCACCCAAATTCTCCTCTCAAACCCAAATCCAAGCCTTGGGAAGCAGGGAGGTCTGATGTCTCCTACAGCATCCTCTGTCCTCCCAGGGGCTCAGGGAGCTGTGGGGGAGCAGAAGGGACACGACCCCAGGTGTGAGGGGACAGAGAAGTTTTAGGCAGGAGGCAGAAGAATTCAGGCCAAAGTGGAGTGGGAGGGGTGTGTGATGGCTGCTCAGGGAGCTGAGAGAGGACAGGCTGAGGCTGAAGGGGTGAAAAGGGAGCAGCTGGGAAGAGGAGGAGTTAGGATCAGGCTCAGGATGGAGTGGGTCCCCTGAGTTTGCCTAGCAAAGAGGCCAACACTTTAATTATATATAGGAAAGGTTCAGCAGCCAGTAAAGGTGATGGAAGGATGGGTGGGAGGTGGCTGAGCTTCCTGCAGTGAAAGGGAACTCTGGCCAAGGCCCTGGATGTGAGCTGTGGCTGAGTGAGTTACAGTCAGCAGGACCAACAGCTACACATCCTGCTGGGATGGGAGCAGCTGGCACGCTGGCCTGGGGATGGGACACTGAGGAAAATGCCCCTGGGTGCCTTTAGCAGGTTTAGTTTGTGTGACTTTGCAACAGCTGTGTGCTCACCTAAACACTGGAGTAAACACCACACCTGAAAGAGGGAGAAAGGGAAAAAGCTGGAGATACAGGAGAAGGGGAAAACAAAAAAAAGGAAAGAAAGAAGTTGGCCTATGTGGGGAAAAAAAAATAGATTTGCATAAAAATCCTACCTAAAGAAAAGCACTTTTACTTTCATTGGAGTAAAACTGGAAATCCAAAAGCCAAGAGAGAGAAGTGCAGCTCGGAGGACGACGCTGACATCTCCAAAATCCAACTTCGTGCACTCCTGAGAGCACTTTCGAGATACCAAGTACAGAAAAGAGGGATAAAACAAACAAGGCAGCAATAAAGCTGCCTCCTGGCTGTGCTGACATCCCCGGGAGCACGGGGGGAGCGGGGCTGGCTGCAGAGGGGGGCGGAAGGCAGTAGGAAGCCATTTATCACCAGGAGATGCTCTATTGTACAGGAAGGGCTGACCTTTTGCACGTTTACACTTTATTAAACTGGGCTGGGGGGGGAAGAGGGGGAAGAGAGCCAAGATATTGTTTAAAAATATATGACTATTAAAAAAAAAAGTTGTCTTAATCTCCCAAGAATACATTGTGGAAATCTGACAGCCATTCATAAGCTGCAAAACAAGAGGAGTAGTAACCCCCATTCCCTGATAATAGATCCACGGCCCCTTGGTTGGAGGCTCCCAGCCCATGCTAAATTGTAAGTAATACTTAGCACCAGCCACTTGAAAAGGTTACTTGATCATTTACAGCACCAGCCCTGCCCCAGCTGCCAGTCATGGAACAAAACCATCACGTTAAAATGCTCTCTGGACCTTTCAGAGCCCTGCACTCAGCCCTTCGCCGGGGTACCTGGAGCTACCCTTTGTTATGCCCTGTTCTTTAGGCACTTAGTCAGAGATGTTTGCTGCCTTCAGAGCCGTAGGCTGGTTTTAAAATTCTAAACATTGGTCACGGCCTCTCCAGTGGCAAAGGCACTTTGCTATTTAGGGAACAACTGCCTGGTTATAATAAAGAAGAAAGGGAGAAGAAAAGAAACGTTAACAGGTGAGAAAAGGTCCTCCATTAAGTTATCAAAAAGTTACACTGGCTATTTATGCTGTCCAGAGTTTAATTTGGAATAGACAATGTGGGAAAACTCCCAGAGAGCAGAGGAACTTCTGCCAACGACTGGCTGAAAAATAAGAGCTGCCTGAAATTCATTGTGAGAGAGAAAACGTCTTCTGAACACTTTTATCACATTTTCTGCTTCCTCCCATCCCACTGAGGGCTCTGTGAGAGCTGAGGGATGAGTCACAGAGGAAAGGGCTGAGGCCAGACTCGTGTTTAGAGGGAGAGAAGACCAGGTGGATCCAGGATCTTTTCCTAAGGATCTAGGATTTTAGGAATCTAGGATCAAGGAAGGTGGTGGTCAGGGCCCCAAGGCTGCCAGAGCTCAAGAAGTGTTTGGACAACACTCTCAGGCACAGAGTGGGATTCTTGGGGTGTCTGTGCAGGGCCAGGAGTAGGACTCGATGATCCTTGTGAGTCCCTTCCAACTCATGATATTCCATGATAACATTGGAAGGGGATCTGATAGTAAAAATCTCACATATTCTGGAACAAATGACCCGCCTTCCTGTGCTGTATCTGAGCTCCCTGATGGACTGCAGCATGGGAACAGCAGCTCTCCAGACCCAGGGATCTGTACCCAGCACACGCTTCATTAGAACCAGTTATCAGGAAGTTTTGGGCCCGAGTGATTGTAAATTTTGGGCTATTCTGTGTGATAAGCTGTTAGAGATAACCAGACCTTCCACATCTTTTCATCGCCATGGGAAGAGGACGTGGTCAGGATTTCGGGAACAATGTTAACAACCTTCCACCCAAAGCTTTGCTCCTGCTCAGGGTCTGGATGTTTCTCATCGTCTCGTTGGTTTGCTTTGCCACACTGGCTCCTCCCTGCTATCAGATTCTTTACAGGCAGATATCCCCACTATTCTAACTCACACAAACACAGGATGTTCCTGGCCAGCCTGTCACCATTATCCAGCCTGGATGAAGGAAAAATCGGGGGAAGTTATTAACCAAACTCTGAGGCTGGTGCGAAACAATGAGGGAACTAAGTTTAGCTGTGAAAGCAACCAGGATCCAGCTTTCACAAACCTGCAAGTTATTTATCTAAGGTGGGAAACACTATCAGGGGAGAACAATGCATGTGAATATAAAGGAGAGCACAATAAGGACCACGGGGCTGGGATCCCAGCCTGGCCACAGCAGGAGGGACGGGGATAGCTGGTGACTGTCACACGCCTTTGGAGCAGGCACAGCTGAACCCACTGCCTGGCTCCTCCACACGCTGCAGGTGATGTCAGGGAACACCAGGCAGGTACAAAATGCTGCTGCCTGGGTGCTGGACAGTCCTTCTCCACTTTGCACCACTGCCAGTGACCACACCAAGGGCTCCCGAAGGAAAACCCACCCAGGCATTCTGGCCTGGGAAAGGAGTTCAGCAGAGCTGCCCAAACCTCAGCCCCGTTCTTCTAGTAATGCAAAGGGAACATCAAGGCATAACTGCCATCATCCTCAAACCAGGCACAGATAAAAGTGTCTGAAAGTAACTGGTGGAACACAGTGGACATTCCAATCAAGCCCTCGGACGAGGAGGAGTCTGATCCCAGTGGTGCCAGTGGCCTGACTGTACCAGCTCCATCCCAACCCCCTGGCACTCACCCAGTGTGGCACAACAACGTCCCTGCTGTTACCTGGGGGTGGAAAAGCAGCGGGGAGGGTCGCAGGTACTTCTCCTTTAGGGCACCCACAGGGTCTGTCACCTTCCGCTTCTCCACCCTGCTGGACAACAACACAGAGGGTTACATACCTCACAGGGGCACAGCCAGACCCTCTGCAGGGGGTTCAGCCAAACACACGGGGTTATTCTCCTACTGACACAAATGTCTGCCCTCCCCTTCTACTGGAGACTCCAAATTCTGACCCACAACCACCCTGCAAAAGGCACTGGGAATCCCACGAGCACGGATCCCCTCCTCTGGGCAGTATTTGTTCAGCCATCAGACTGACGACTAAGAAAATATTTTGCTCTTCTGTAGTGCTTTATAAGCCTCTGCTGCTGTGAAATGTCATGAAACCCCTGCATTTACAGCAAAAGCAATGTCTGAGTGGGAGGAGCTCTAGAGTCCACAGCAGGCAGCCCCTGCACGGAAAAGAAATTGTCTTTGAGAGTTTGTATTAATCCAAAGAGTTAACACTGGGCCAGACTTTGCAGCCCCAAGCGTGCTGAAATCATTAGGTGTTTCATATTTATTTCCTCCCTCACAGCTGAGACATAATTTGCATTGAGTTTCTTTGGTAAGCACGTGTGGACAACAATTTAAAAAGCGAGGAACTGGTGGGAGAGTTCTGAAGCACCTTATAAACCTGAGTTCTTCTGGTTATCACCTTGGGCCACTCAAATATTTCATGTTTAAGCACCTGATATACAGAAATGACCCGAAAGTGAGGCTCCTATTTTTGAAAATACTGGCTTTGCTTTCACAAAATATTCTACTTGCAGGGAAACCGTGGTGTGGAATCACCAAAAAGACAAACTGAAATGTCCTCTGAGGGAAAAAAGTGTTATGGAAGTAGCTCCAACAAACACAGCTGCTTCTTTAAGTGGCTGGAATTGAGTCCATCCAGCTCAAACAGCAGAAATCCAAGAGTAAGAGTAATTTTAACATTAGTCCAGCATAAATGAGAGCAAATTATTTTGCTGCATTTCAGCTGATTGGTGCATGGATCAAATTACCAAAGAGTTTAAAGAAGAGCCCTGCAGAGTGCAGTCAGTGAACTGTACTTAATCTGCATTTAATTCTTCTTGGGCAGAGGGAGAGAGAAGAGCTGGATTGGAAATGCCATCCGAGCTACGGGGCTTTGGAAGGTATGTGCTTTTATGGGCATGAGCTGTCAGAAAAACAACAATCTGTCAAAGGATATGTAAAAAGTTGCTCCCTGGGACCCCCACCCGGCCCAGCTTTGCCCTCCCTGGGGCTGTGACACCCAAGGGAACATCCCTGACCCCGGCAGAGGCGTCTGCAGAGAGCCCTGCCTGCCCACAGGCATAAAATTGGGTGGATTGACAGCGTTGCACCAGCTTTACCATCTCCCAGCACTGGGAATGAGAGCACAGCAAGGTCCTCACAGCCTCGTCAGAGCCGAGTTCTGCAGTGCCCGCAGGATTAAAGCCTCTCCTCTCAGCCCAGTGCCTGAGAACGGCACCTTCACAGGCCCAGCTCACAACTGCCCCACTTTCAGGCTGTCTGGCTGCATTAAATTATATCACCAGGAGAAAATGTCAAGGATTTAAGTGGCCTTTGGGAGAAAAACGAAGGAGCCAAATGATGTGAGAGAGTCTGATAAAGGGAAGTTTAGAAACAAAATATTTCCATGTTTTTCAAGCTGGGACTTGGAAGCTGGGCTGTTTAGCTCATTACATCACAAGTCTGATTCGCAAGCAGCCCCACCGCTGACTTTCTATTTTAACACATTACTAAAACTATGTGCATCCCATGGAATGCAACAAATGATGCCCCCATCCTTCACTTCCATCTGTCTTCTGGACCTTTACGGTTTTCCCGAGGCCGCTATTTTAATTGGCAGCAGCTTTTCCAGCCCATGTTATTTTAACATTCCTGCTGATAATGCCCAGGGGTGGCAGGATCCAACGTGAATGCTTTTGCCTTTCTATCCCATTTATTGATTTTATTTTTTTTTTCCCAGGAGTAATTTTCCCAAAAACAAATGCTGGACTATTTGTATCCTGACTGATTTCTCCAGGAGGAGATGGGAGATGGCCACGGTGGGTCCCAGGCAGGACACGGCCCCTCCTGGGCTGGGATGCAGCGTTTCCATCACAGATGGCACACAGGCAGTGCTGCATCACCCCCCAGCTGGCAGAGCCAGCACCCAGGGCTCACTGATCCCAGCCCAGCAGCTCCTTGGCCTGGCCAGACACTGAGATCACCTCTCCCCCCAGTTATCAGCTGAAGGCAGCAGCCTCAGCGACACTGGGGACGTTCTGCTGTTGTTTGCAGCCCTTTGAATGCTCAAGTGACCCATCCTGGTGCTGACACGTCACGCCGTGGTGACTCTGAGGCTTTCCAGCACCAGGAGAACACCGGCTCCTGCAGCACATCCCTTAACCTTCCAGCAGGCTGGACACAGGGAGGATCACTAGGCACACAATTCACATTCAGCCCAAGGGATGCAAGGACAAACCATTCACCTCCAGGAACCAGCTGGACACTGAATCCAGGAGCCTTCCAGGCCAAACACATGTATCCCAATAGATGACATGAAGCATTTAGACATGTTAACATCTAAGTTAACATTAATTAATATTTTGACATGCTAATGTCTAAATCAAACTAGTTGAGGACCCTTCTTTTCACTGGGCTTTGCTAAAACCAAACGTGCCACATCCCCCTCATCCAGAGCAGGATGACACCAAAGGTGGTGCCGGTGCCTGGATGGGTGACACACAAATGTGCTGGTACCCTCACCATAAAGCTTTACATCACTTTCCTTTAGAAACAGATTTTTACAAAAATCCCTCAAACAACAAAAGGCTCAAGTCTTCCCTTTGCAGCTCCTGAATTCATTCCTTCTGGAAGTTTAACTGGCATTTGGATAACTTCACCCAGCCTGCTCTACACACGCCTTCCACGCTCAGCTCATTCTAGGTGTGACGTAAGGCATCAGGCCCTCCTCAAAACCCATCTGTTCAAGTGACACTAGAAAACCCTTGCTGTCTCCTAAGAAAGAAAAGTCTGCAAGGAATGTCTCTGGGAGAGATCCGGGTAGTAACACACCACCATGTGTTTACACAGCACTTGTTACTCCAGGGGTAACAAGTTTCGTCAGACTCGATCTGCAGCAGCCGCTCCTCCGAGCTGAGAAACTCTTAAGAAAAGGCACCAGAAAGAAAAAGGGGGTGGGAGGAAGAAAGGTGAAGTGGCTCACAAAAGGCCATCAAGTCAGTCAGTGGGAGAGCTGCATTTCCAGGCTCCCAGGGCTCCTGACTCATTCCCAAGCCATGAGAGCCCGGGCTCCGAGGCATCTGAACTCTGCATTCTTATCGAATCAAACCTCTGGAATTTCCCCAGCAGAAGTGCCATCTTAGCGATGGCTCGTGGGAGAGTCCTTAAATAGGTCAAGTTTCTTCTTTATCAAAATAAGGATGTGTTCTTTACACACATTGATTACAAGGGCTCCTCTCAATTACTCTGCCCTTCCCATTCAGGAGATTCAACGTGTTGAGAAGCACAAACACCCACAGCAGGAGTTCACTGCTCCTTCCAAACAACCTACATCCCCACCTGCCTCAAGGTGTGATGTCAGCTAGAAAATGAGCTGGTCAGAGAAAGGCTTAAGGCAGGGTATGTTAATACCTGTAGATGGGGTCCATGAAAAAGGGCGATGGCTTAGCGTAGTGCAGGGACGGCTGCTGAGGCAGCTGAGACTGGGAAATCTTGGGTAAGACTTCACTTGCCATCAGCTTCCTCTCCCCATAAATGTGGTTTTTCCGTGGCTCTCTTCCTCCGTTCTGGCTGGCTCGGATGCGGTTGCCAATGCTCAGATCCAGTGGCTGTTCCTCCCCTGAGGACGGGGCTGGCAGCACCTTCGGGGGCGGCAGGATTGGCTTAATCTCTTTTGGCTTCGTGGTGAGATCGAAGGGGGACTCCGAGCTGGTGCTGCCTACTTTGTGGAGGTCCCTGGGTGACTTTGGTTCTGCCTTGACCAGCAAGTTGTGATTGAGGGTCCGCTCCGTGAAAGGGTAGAGGGAATGGGGGAAATTGGGGAGGAACTGAAAAGGGAACATGGAATGATAGGGGAGCGAACCCATCTTTTTCTCCTGCATCCCCATAAAGCCAGGCCCAAAATACTTCTCTGCGATGGAGGCGATGGCTTTGATGGAGTCATTGGCTGCTCCCGTGGTGGGCAGCAGGTGCTCCTCGGGGGGAGGAAAGAAGGAATGCTGAGAATAGAAGAGAGGGATCTCGCTGGCGGTGTTGGTGGAACTCGCAGACACGGAGCTGCTGACGAAATCTGGCTTGGTCTCCATCTGTTTGCTCTTGTCTTTTGCTTTGTCCCTGTCGCTCTCTGCATCACTGTCCAGGTCAGATCCCGTGCCAGTAGTGGTGTCCAGGTCCGTGCCCGTGGTTGTATTGACATCCTCAAAGTCACTGCCATCGGACATGTCACTGTTCCTGGCTTTTAGCTTCTCCAGGTAGGAGTTTTCCAGGCTGCTTTCACATTTCTCCTCCCCGGAAGGGGCCTGGTTGCTGTTGCTCACCGCGGAGATCAGCGGCAGCGCCGGGTTCCCGAGGGGGCTGGGGAGCTTCGCGTCCGGAGTGTGGTTGAGGGGACTTTTGAGCAGTTGTGTGGGCGGTAACAAGGGGGGCCTGGGGTATAGAGAGGGTGGGAAAATGCCCGGGAATCCCGGGGTGAGGGCGGGAAAGGCCGGGGGGGCAGGTGAGAACGGGAGGCCCCCGGGGTGCGGGCGGGACGGGAAATAATCGTTAAACCCCAGGCTGGCGTGGTTGAGGTTGGGAGAGGGCTTGGACTTGTCCATCATGGAGGTGGGCGTCAGGGGCAGGCCGGGGGCGAAGATGCCGCCGGGGCTGTAATGGTTCTTGCCCTCGCAGAAGCGGCGGTGCTTGTTGAGGGAGGAGGTAGTGCTGAACATCTGCCCGCAGTCCTTGCACTTGATCTGCGTGCGGCAGTCCGCGTGCATCCGCTTGTGGCGGCACAGGTTGGAGAACTGCGTGTAGGATTTGTGACAGACCTCACCTAAAGCGTCAACAGGAACCAACAACAAAAGCGATATGAAATTACCAGGAAATGGCTCCGGGGCTCGCCGGGAGCTCCCCCAGCCTCCCCCACCCTGGGATCCCCCTTCCCCGGAGCCAGAGCAGCAAGAGCAGCTGAGGGGCCAGTTCAGGGAGCCCACCTGGGATAAATCCCATCCCAGGGACTGTCTCAACAAGCAGCTCCACAGAAACCTGAGGGGATGTGCTACTCCTGATCAAATTTTTGGGGAATTTTCAGTAAAGATGATCGTGGAATCCCAGAATGGTTTGGGTTGGAGGGGACCTTAAAGCTCATCCAGTGCCACCCCCTGCCATGGGCAGGGACACCTCCCACTAGCCCAGATTGCTCCAAGCCCCCTCTAACCTGGCCTTGGACACTTCCAGGGATGGGGCAGCCACAGCTTCTCTGGGCAACCTGTGCCAGGGCCTCCCCACCCTCACAGGGAAGAATTTCTTCCTAACATCCAACCTAAATTTCCAAGTGAAGCTACATCAGCATTCCCTTTAACACCCTGCAAATACCAAGCTTTCAAAGCGTGGATTTTTATGACCCCTTTCACCTACAGACTTTGCTGGTGTGGGAGGAGCAGGACAAAGTGAGACAAAATTCCCACCCAAACTCTTCTATACATCAAAACGCTGTAACTTTTCATGATCTGGTGCCTCTTTCAACAGAGGAATAAATCCCGTGTGGTGGTGAAGGAACACGCTCCTTCCACCGGAGAACTGCTGTTATCACCCTTTGTGAGCGTGGAAACGGAGACAAAGAGGGGGGAGGATATTGTTTGGAGTTGGGCAGGCAAGGACACGAATCCCAGCTCTCCTGACACCCAGTCCTACCACTCGGGGACCAACTACGTGCTCCTTTCCTCCTCCCTCCCTCCCGGCTTTACTGACAGGTAAAAGAGAGCATGATTTTCCCTGTTTTTTTTCTAAATTTTTAGGATTTCCATCAGTGCTTGACTATCAAATGACTGGTGACAGAGTTGTTTCACCAGCAGCTCTGAAAACATAATAATATAATAAATTCTAATTTAAGTTCAAAGCAGAGATTAATAAAATTTAACAAATTCGCCATTTCAGTTCAGATGAGCGTCCCAAAATCCTGTGGACTGTCACTAAAGAGGCTGGTTTCTGATTGCACTGGAAATTTAATCTGAACTGTCTTCCTGGAATTGTTCAAAAAACATGGGGATGTGGCATTTGGGGACATGGTTTAGTGCTGAACTCTGTGCTGGGTTAAAGGTTGGACTTGATGGTCTTAGAGGGTTTTTCCAACTGTAACAATCCTATGATTCCATGATTCTTCCATTTTTCACCCCAGGAATTTTTGCTAGATATATACAATAGTGCACAAAATTCCCTAAAAAATAGGGAAAACTGGAGAATATCTGTTAAATCTCCAGTTGTACAACGATTTAGTAATTCCTTGTGAAATGTCCTCTCTTGCCCTTCTGAGTTCTGCAGTTAAAAAGTTGTGGGTTTGGGGTCTTTTTAAAGCCAAATATAATATGGTAAAAACCCAAACAAACACTCACACAGACCCTTTTCTTCCATTGAACGGGAAAGAAAAACTCCTTGGTGGATCCTGCCCCGTGGATTTGAAGTTACTAATGGGTTCCACATTGATCCTGTGACTCCCCCTGGCACCTCTGCCCAGGCAGGATCACCCTCCGGTTGTTTCACACACTGACCTGGCCTGACAACTCCCTAATTCTGATGAGGTGAGAGTGAGGAGATTATGGGGAGAAATCCCTCATCTGCTGCAGCAATCCTGAGTCAAATCATCCCTTTCATGTGCCCGTCGCCCAATGAGAGGTGGCAGCAAAATGAGCAAGAAGAGCATTTCTTCTTCCTCCGCTGACACCCGGCTGGTTACTGCGGGACAATTTAATGAAATGGGTCTCCCAGGACACCCCTGCATGCTGTTCCCATTACAGAACAGGGGAAAAAGGCAGCAGTGGGTTCAGTGCCTTCCCTACCCCAACATCAAAGCCTGGAATCAAACCCAGATCCCGGCCTGTGCCTGAACGACGTGTTCTGAAGTGTCAGGAAGTGATCCCTGAAGTTCCTGGAGCTTTGTTGTGACACAACCACCTTCCTGCTCAGTCATCCAAACCCAATAGGTGCTGTGTCAATTAAAAAAATATACAACCCTGGGAATGACAAGGAATGAGATGGATGACTCTCCAAGGAAAATGCCCTTCTGGAAATATCCCTCTGAGGAGAGCACTGAGGACACAGTTAATCTGCTGTTTATTTGGCTTCCAGCACTATCTAGATGAAACATGCAGTAAATAAAGAAGAAAAAAACTCTTTTTAAAAAACACCTTCTCAGTCTCTGTGACTACTCCAAGTTCTTTACGATGGATTTGAGGCATTCCCAAAAAACATTTCAACCAGGCCGTGTCAGCAATTTATCTGTGTCACTAACGGGAACATTCGAAAATTACCAAGGCAAAAAAAGACGAGAGAGAGAAAAGATATGAGAAAATGGGATCGCTGGGATCGCTGAGAGACTCAGCTCTGAACTCCTCAAGAAAGTAAAAAACTGCCACCAATGTTTACTGAAAAAACAGGGAGCACACAAAATATAAAATAAAAAATAATAATAATTTAAAAAAAAAAAAAAAAGAGAAATCCCAGAGGAATTCCATCTGGAGCAGCTCCGAGCTCTGAAATCACAGCAGGGCCCCCCCGCAAGATACCTGCAATTACAGCCTGGGATGGCCGGGACAACTTACATATGAAAGGTTTGACAGTGCTGTGGATGTGCTTGTGCTGCTTGAGGCCCGAGGAGGTGGCGAAGGTCTTGCCGCAGTCGGGGCAGGCGTGGGCTCGAGCCCCCACGTGCTGCGAGCGGATGTGCCGCTGGAGGTTGCTGGGGTCCGTAAACACCTGCGGGACACGCCCCGGGGGCAGGGGGAGAAGAGACTACGCGTGAAAAACTCGACAATTCGGGCCTTTTTTTCTGTCACAGATGCTCACGACACAGGTCAGGGCTGTGGGTGCCCTGCCAGGCTGTGGCACCTCCCTCAGTGTGGGATGCTGGTGGTTTGAGAGGTGTTTGCTCACCCACGTCTGCCACCCCAGTACCTGGCAAATGGCCAAAGGGGAGTGGGTTGGGGTAGGGCTGAGCTGCACCCCCCACAGTGGGATGCCCAGGACAGTGAGGACACCCCTTCTCCCCGTGTTGGGGACAGCAGGGGCACCTCTCCCCACAGTGCCCTGCCCAGGGCCAGCACGGGCCACCCATCCCCTGCACCCCCTTCCCAGGGTCCTGTCCCAGGTGAAGCCCCCCCACAGTGCCCCGTGTCCCCACTGTACCTTAACACAGTTTTCACATTCAAACCGTTTCCCACTGTCGTGAGACATTTGGTGACGAATCAGGTTGGATTTCCAGTTGAAAGCCTTGGGACACTGGTCACACTTGTACTCCCTCTCCTCCGTGTGGATCACCATGTGCTGCTCCAGGCTGGGGGAGAGAGAAGGGCTCACCTGGGGCAGTGGCCAGAGCCCAGCCCTGGGCACCCACTGCCAAGGCAGGGGCTGTCACCTGGCAGGTCTGAGACCAGAGAGGTGACAGGGAGGGTGACAAAGAACCAGCCCCGTGGGGCGTTTGCAGAGTTACCTGGTGCCTCAGAGCAGGAGGGGGGCAGCTCATGGACTGTGAGAGGGGCAGTGGCACCAAACACCATGAACCTCTTAGCATTTATTTCACTGATGGAAGCTGCCCTGTTCTACCTCAAAATGTCACTGTATCTTGTGGTATTTCTGATTAATACTTGAGTCCATTTGCAGGGGGGAAAGGAAGGCAAACCCAGCTCTGACCCTGCAGGTTGCTGAGGGGAAAAAAGGGCACTTTGTGATCCAGACTCCTGTGGCATCCCCCAGGGAAAGACAAGATATTCCCTTCTGCTGCTGGGACTCTCACATTGCCTTTTCACGGGCACCAGGCCCAAGGCTTCCCAGAACACAGAAGAAACATGATAAGGTGCAAACACATTTCACTTCTAAATGTCAGACATCTTTGATGACTCAACTCAGCAATTTTGCCTTCTACCAACTGGCAGCGCCTCCAGAACCAGGGGGATGATGGCAATGCCAAGTGGCTGCTGGCACAGGGCCATGGCAGGGATGGCACACGGTGCTCCGTTCTCCCTGTGCCATGGGAAACCTGCACCTCCCTGGCCAGGAATCCCGCAGCTCCCTGGCCAAAAATCCTGCACCTCTCAGGCCAAAAGTCCTGCATCTCCAGCCAGGAATCCTGCACCTCTCGGGCCAAAAACTCTGCACCTCTCTGGCCAGAAATCCTTCACCCCTCAGGCCAGGAATTCTGCACCATTCAGGCCAGCCCTGAGAAATAAGGGAAGAAAATTTGCACCCTTTGCTTCTTTCGGGGTAGTTTAACAGGAGTTACAAACACTCCCCTTACTGTGAATTCTGATGAAGGACCAGCTCACATGAAATCTCCTCCTGCCTGAAATCCCTACAGATGGATATTAAATCATTCCTATGGAACTTGAAAGCATGGCTGCATTTTTACAGGAGCATTAAAGCTAAACACTACTGGGAAATCCTGCCAGTCTGCATTAAATGCCACAAGGAAGACACTCCCTGGGCACCCAGGAATCATCTCAGCCCTGGCACATGCTCAGGGCTGCACTGCTCCCACTCTCCTCAGAGGCTGTGACCATTCTCCACCCAGCCCCTGGCTGAACTCAGGTGGGGCAGAATGGATCTGGTGTCCTTGGAAATTCCCAGAGGAAAGGGTAATTCCATCCACAGCTGCCCTGCACTGAACTCTCTGTGCCCTGAGATGGTGGCAACGCTGTGCAAGGTGGTTCATCACGAGTGGGTCTGGGGACTGCAGCCAGCCTGGCCACTCTCCACCCAAACCTCTGCAGCCACCAGCCTCCTGCTCCCCTGGAGAACCTCCCCTGCTCCCAGCCAGGTAGTTAATATTCATGGACATGCCTCTTATAAACTGCCAATCCACTCATTTTAAAGAAGCAATATTCATTTTGCTGAAGAAATGGTGTTCTTAAAACTACCAGATTTTCTACACATCCAAAGTAACATAAACCTTGCATATACACATCCAAAAATACACTCCTTTTAACTGTGATTTATGAGTTTATTTACAGCAAATATAGACAAACTAATGTACTGTTTAGAGGGAAGTACCTACTGGGATTAGCAAAACATTTATTTATTTAGTCAGCTGCTAAATGCTCAATTTCAGGTCCCCAGTGGCACTCTTGATTTGATCTGTATTAACTTCTGAAAAATTCTAAGACCATCTAGGCACACTGAGTGGGTATATTGTGTGTTTTAGTGGCCTTAAACATGGCAGATTGATGGAGGAGAGACAGATGTGGACATTCCCTCCCAGCCCCACTAATCCAGCAGCGTGTCACACACTGAATGGGGATGCTGCCAACTCTCTCTTCCCCACCAAAAAAAATGAACTTTATATTACACATTCCCAAATATTTGGAATCGATGGTCAGACAGGCAGCAAACCCACTGAGCCCGTGGTGCCAGCCCAGCCACCCAGGGAGCCAGGAATACACAGGGGTTACAAAGAGGACACAACACAGACATTTCAAAAGGGCATTTTCTAAGCTAACGTGAAAATTAGAGAGTGCTGGAAGCTAAAGAGGAGAGAACTTCTGACACCAGTGGATCAAAGAGTTGGAACTTTCAGTGAAATTAAACACACTGAAAACTCTTAAAGGAAGTTCTCCTTGTCTTTTCAGGTAAAAAAAAAAATTAAGGAAATTGCACTCTCATTATCTAATGGAAAGTGGCCAATGTAGAAACACAAGGTGAGGGACAATGACACCCCACTGGGCTAACAGGACCCCAGACAGGTATCACAGTATCTATCCCCAACTTTTACACCTCCCACAGCCCAGCTAAGCCCTTTTTGATGCAGATGCATCAGGGAATGCTCTTTACACTTCATTGCTCTCTGAGTTTTTTAAAATAGATTTTTTTTCCTCACTCGCCCAGATCAAAGATCTGAAAGTCTCAACATAATTAAGTTCAAAGTGACAAATGCATGTTTTTAAATGTTCAGCTGAAGTGAAACAGGCCTTACACTGGCTTTAACCCCGAGGTTTTTGCTCTGCTCACGCAGTGCCTGGCAGGGGATTGCCAGTTCTCACAGTTTATGACAAACCTCGTGGTGCGCGAGGTTCGTTCATCTCAGGAGTCAAAAGAAATGAGAATGTGAGAACTTCAGCCTCCGGTAAACAGAGAAAACTCTGGTTTTATAGAATTTTATAAAGGCTTTCATAAAGGCTTAGGATGCAAATAAACACAATCTTAAAATGATTAAAAAAGCCCCTCAACTTTTTAAAGCTGGCCCCTAATGTTTTACCATTTGCGTCTCACTTTGCCAATGAATCAAAAATCTCAAAGATCTCTTAAAACCTGCATTTGATTACTACCACATTATGCAAGATGCAAATTTTCAGTTAAAACTCAGGGGCCCAAAAAGTTTTTCCTATTTTAAAAAAAGTTTAATCCTTGTTTAGAGTTGCCTTATTGTAATAATAACTGAATAATTATGGCAAGTAAACCATAAACTGGAGAACATCTGATATTCCTTTTTTTCCTTTTTACATTTCTATTACAAAAATGCTTGGTGAACACAGTGAAACCAAACATCTGATTGGAATAGAATCTTTTAATTGCTTCTGCAAGATCAAACAGGAGCTCATGGCTGTGTTAAGAGATCTCAGGGTAACGATGCCTCTTTAAACCCACTGATCTCCAGTGACCAAGAGGTACCTATAAAAGGCCTTCATGCACACACTGGCAGAACTAATTCCACTCTTTCCCCTCAGAACCAGAGCACATGGGAGCAGGTGGTGCAAAGAGCCCAAAACCAGGTCTCTCAAGCTCTGTCACAGCCCTGAAGGAGCCACAGGGAACCCAGAAAACAACCATTTAAATTTCCCATCAACAGTCTGTGGGTGCCTCTCCCAACAAGCAAGGAAAAGCATCAGTCTATGAAATCAGGGTGAAATAAAATGCTGCCCAACAGCTAATGGACACTGCAGGATCCCAAAATGAACATTCCCTAGCCCCGTGGAGAAAGGAAAGGTTTATCCCTGCAGCCATCCCAGGCTGCCCAGCTCCCCCCTCCGCCCCGTGTCTCCATCCTCGGACAGGCCAGTGAAGGAGAAGGGAGAGGGGAGGCCAGAGGAGGGTCTGGCACTTTTTGGGTACCTGTATTTGTTGGGGAACATCCTCTCACAGTCTTTGCACTCATAGACCTGTCCATCTCCAAGACCTTCCTGCTTGATCTCGTCATTGAGGGTCTCGTAGAGGGAGCTGACGGCGCTGCAGCCGAACTTCTTGTGCCGCCGCAGGTCGAGCTTGGACTGGAAGAGCTCATCACAGTCCTCACAGCGGAACGAGGGCTCCTCTGCAACAACACACAGGGGGTTGGCACTCCTGGGGCACCAAGTTCCACCAGGCTGGATTATTTTACCCAACACTAAAGAGAAGGCAAAATTCTGTGAGCATCCGGCAAACAAACAAACAAAGAGCAAATCTGCAAGTGAGGGGAGAGAGAACCCAAGGGAGGCTGTGCCAGCAGCTGCTTTCACTTTAAGCATTAAGAAAAAAAATGTAGAGCACACAACCAGAGGAGATCTTGTTTTCTTTGTGTCCTGGCCTCTGCAGAGACAGAGAGACCTACAAGAACTGGTAGACACACAAAATACTGGGTTGTTCTGGAGTGTTGAGCTGCCTACAAGGAGGGCCTTCGAAAATATGAATGAGTTTTTTCCTCAAAAGGGGCTGCCAGGGAAAAAGGAACAACCCAGACTCACATAAACACAGATACTGGGAAAAGCAAACTGCCACAGCACAAACCTGGAGAAGCTCCTTTCTAAGAAATTGTCTGTCTAATGTTCTCCCCTCAACTCATCCCTCACAACTGCGAGAGCTCAGGGCGTCATCAGCCCGAGGAGTCCAAACCCAGAGCACCGTAGAAGGAAGAACAGGGAGCCAAAGGCTTTGTTGCTGTGCTCTTTGCTTTTTCTTCTTTAAAAAAAAAAAAAAAGTTCTAATGCACATAATAAATTACTGTAGTCAAGGTCAAACAAATTAAAAAGAGGGCAGCTATTATTAAGTTTACAAGGCAGCATCCTGACCATAGTGCCAAGCCAAACAATCAGCTCTGAGCTGTAAATTTTCCAGGAGAACAACCTCTGCGAGGGAGTCAGGACAGCTCCGGGTTTCTCCACCCTGAAACAGAAGCTTTCCAGCCCCCACTGAGTCACTGGTGCCGCGTTTCCCTGTCCTGCTCTCCCCTCGTCCTCTGCTTCCTATTAAGCCTCGTTCCCTTCTTCTGATCACTTTTCTTTCAAAAGGAAAGCTTGTGGTAAGTGCGTAAGCTCAAAGGGAAGAGTTGGAATATTCTGAGAGATGCAGCCAAAGGCTGATGCTGGGATGGAGCTGAGCCATCCCCTGCTCTCAGGGTGGGAAGTGGCCACACTCTGTTTTTGGGGCTGCTCTGCAGCCAGGACCCATATTCAAAATCTGCAACCTCTGAGCAAACCCTTGCTTTGAAGTCCCCCTTGCAGTTGTTCACCCCAAATTTTGCACATTTGCAACCACTTAGGTTGAGCTTTAGGGCCTGGAATGGTGTTTTATATAAATCAGGGTTAATTTTGTTGTAAGTGTGCCAGGAGCAGAAGCACGGGCAGTGTCACCACGGGGTCACCACGTCCCCCCCACACTCGGGCACTCAGCTCCCATCTCCCTTTCTCCCCACACAGCCTATTTAAACCTGAGCTTAAAACTGAGCAAGGCAAGACAAGGTCCCAGAAGCTGCTACAGCAGCGACGTGGGCAGAGGAAACCCAACACTTTGCACACCTACACAGAAAGTATCGACATGGGAAAAGTCAAACACGGCTGAAAAAGAAAGTATCACCGAGGCAGGGCCAGTGCAGCCCCCTGGGAATCCCAGCAGCCTGGCCAGGGGTGCCAGACCCATTCACTCAGGGCACCAATAATCCTACAGCAGCCACAGGGATGCACCAGCATTTCCTGAACTGCAGGAAAGAGGGATGTGAAAAAGAAACGAAATCCAGTGGGTCAACATTTTCCTTTGGGGAGGAAGGGGGATTTTGACTGAAAGAAGGAGACCTAGGGGAAAAATACCCAATCTTTCCCATTTCTGCTGATTTTGACAGATTATATTCTCTGAAATTGCTATCAGCAGCCTCACCATGAAGTGAGTCAGGCCCTGCTATGCTCCTTAGAGAATTTCCCTTTACTGGCATTTTGCAGAAAAGTATCAACACGTAACTCATGTGTTTTATGTCCCTGGGGAGGGAAACGTGGAAAAATCAGGACATAAAAACCAGCAGTACCGAGAGACTGAGGATAAACTACCATTAAATTAATCCAAACTACTTACTATGAGGGAAAAGTGAAAAAGAAGGAAAAAAAAGTCCAGTATCATGTTATGTCTTGTTATTGCATTTTACTTGTAACAACAGCATGAAACACAACATTACTGAGCAAAACTCAGTATTTCATCTGCACATGTTTACAGACCAAAACCTTGCTTGGTGTGAAGGCAGCAAGGAGGGGGGGAGGGCTGGGATGAGGTGTGTTCAGGTACCTTTGGTGTCTGTAACTCGGGCCAGGAGAGACAAACCCGACAGCCCCAGGGGTCCTGCAGGCACACACCGTGGGCTGAGGCAGTGAGCTCACCCTGCCAGCCCTCCTCAGCACCAGTGAACCCATGTCAGCCCTGGAACAAGGGCTCCTCTGCCCCAGGGTGCAGCTCTGGGCTCAGAGCAGGCACTGGCACCAACAAACACGACCTCACTGCTCTGCCTGGAGACGTCCCTGGGACGGGAGCTGTGTCACTCACTGCACTGTGAGGAACAGGATAAATCCCTCACTAACTCCAGATCTGTGGAAATGCTCTGGCAAGGTGTTCATCTGCCTCAGAGCCAACATTTCCCCTCCTCATTCGTTTGTAAACACAGCGGTGGCTCAACCCAGGAGGATTTTTTTGTAGGAGCGACTGGAATCCTGCAGGCTGGGGACCCCCAGGTACCTTCACCTCAAAAAACTCCTACCGAACTCCCAGAACCCCTCCACCTCACCCTGGCAATTCCCCAGACCTGAAAACACTTGGAACGGAGAAAACAGAATTTTTTCTTCTTTTGACCTCAGAGAAAATGCATCTAAATTCCTTCTGCAAATCCAGACGAAATTCTTCCTCCTTCAGTTTGAGATTTACACGATTAATTGCATCTTATTTCACCCAAGCTCTCCTCTAGGAAGCAGAAATCCTCTCTGAGTTTGGAAAACCATCCATGGGGAATAATGTCCTCCATCCCTGGCTAAAGCTGGATGACTTGGCAGCACCCCCTCCCAGCACACACCTGACCCAGCCCTGCCTGCCCTGAGCAGCAGCGACACAGGTTTGTCCTTTCTGTGAGATCACAGAGCAGGGAAGTAGATGAAATACATTAATAGCCTCAATAATAATTCAGAGATTTTGCTTCTAATTCTCCTTTTCCTTTACCAGATCACCTGAATCACACACAGTACAAGAGGATCAAACTCAGGTAGGAAAGATGGAGGATAGGAAAAGCAGTGCATGTGCTTCAGAATATCTGGGTTTGGAAAAGAAATTTGCATTGAAAGAAGAATTAGAGAACTGGCAAATATAGGACTAAAAGCCATGTTATTCATGTTGCCACCGGCTGTAAATTCTATTTGGATGCTCAGACAGGTTCAGGAGAGGAAGAACTGATGGGCTGGTGGAGCAGCTGAGGGTGGGGAGGCCCTGGCACAGGCTGCCCAGAGAAGCTGTGGCTCCCCCAACCCTGGGAGTGCCCAGGTTTGAGGGGGCTTGGAGCAACCTGGGCTAGTGGGAGGTGTCCCTGCCCATGGCAGGGGGTGGCACTGGATGGTCTTTAAGGTCCCCTCCATCCCAAATCATTCCATAATTCTATGCTAGTATATCCATATCCAACACCCATTCCCGTGGCATTCCCACTGCTGAACTTCAGTAGGTTAGAGACCAGACTTCTCAACAAATACCCTGCAGGGAAAGGAACTGAACTCAGACTCAGGGCCAGATCCTCCCCCTGCAGAACTGAAACCTAAATCAGGGCTGAGCTCCGACCTGCTATCGATTTTGTGTCTGTATGAGACACTCGGTTTGCAGACTTCAGGTTCATTAAAGGGTTTCTTTTTTCCTTCTTTAAGTACCAAAAATAAAAAGGCTGCCCTTCAAAACAAGTTCTCATTAAAGTTTTCCCCTTTCTTTAGGCGTCACAAATGAAAACAGCAAATGCTGCCCTTCAGAAAGGTAACTGCTCTGGTGTCTGACAGGGAGAAGGGGCTGAAAAGAAAAGAACAACCCAGTTACACAGAAATTGCTGCCTGTTCTCTGTGTCTTGTTTGTCAAATCTGTGGTTATATGTGCCTATCTGAAGTTCCATCAGTAACACTCAGGACAAAGCAGGAATGTAACAGAAAAATAAATCAGTGCCTAATAGCTTTCAGAGAAACCAAGGGGAACACAATTATGTGGCATCTACATGCTAATCTACCAGACTCGAATCTCAAAGGAGTTCAAGTGCCCTACTCAAAATTCCTGCAGTGATAAGGGGTCTGCTGTGTTTGGCTGGGGTTGGGAGAAAAGATTTTTATGATAATTATCTTTGTGTGGAACAATTTTGCATTTTCCTTCCTGTTAATTCCGAAGCGAACTGGGGCTGCGAGGCAGCAGGAAGATAGCCCTGCTGAAAGTAAAAAGTATTAAGGAGTCAAATATTTAATGTTGGCCTGGCGTAATTTGACAGCAATTATGCGGCAAAAGCACTAGACGTTACCAGGAAGACACAGATAAATGTTCCAATAATGACAGAGATGGAAAACAAGGAGCACTTTTTGCTTGTTCACATAAAAGCCTTTTAGAAACTGAAATGCAGAACAGCGGTGAGTTTTCATTCTGATTTCTCCCTGACATCAAAAAAAGGGTACAGAAATTATTCATCTCTGTGTGTCAGCCTCGAGAAAATTGTTAACTTTTTTTTGGGGGGGGGAGAGAACAGTAAAAAATAATAATCCCGAATTTGACATGAGTGAGGCAGCAGCTACCACATTTCACCCCCAGCCCTTCAGCAAACGAGCTTCCAGCAGCACAAATCCTCAAACTATCTTGTTCTCCAGAAATATTTGAAACTAACTGTGCACATCCTGTGCACACTCTTAAAGGATTTCACTGCAAATTTGAATCTGAAATTATATTCCTATGCAGGTAAGAGAACATAAATGCACTGTGACATGCCCAGGTGAGAGAACTCAGATTTCAGTGATTATTTGTATAGAACAGTATTTCCAACTAATAGTTTAAACACAGCTGGTAAATGAGAATATATTTAGAAATTAGTGGACTGTGCAAGAGCAGGTGAGGTGTTGATATCCCAGCAATAATAATTCTAGGGATGACTCTTCCACCCTCTGCCTGGATCCCCTTTTTCCAGGTACTCTAAAGCTCTGCTGTTTTCCAGGCCTTGGAAAGGTTCAGCCCATTTTTATCACACCTAAAGAAACATGGTGACCCTGGGGATGGAAAAGGCACCTCCAATCATATTCAAAACCACAATGTTCCTCACAAGGAAGGGGAAAATTAGTCTGCTGCACATCTTGAGTTTAGTAAAGACTCACTATCGTGGACTTAGACAGTCACTCCCACCAGGGAAAGAGCAAAAATGAGCATAACATCCCAACAGCGACAGAAGGGGGAGGTACTGGATCAGGTTTTGTCCCGGCTCAGCTCTCACTGAGGTTCTCAGCATTCCTGGGTGTGCTGCAGAGAGGTGCAGAAGGTCCTCTGGAGGCCTTACCTTCCATGCTGGGCGCCATGTTCCCAAGGGAATAACCACCTTCCTTCAAACACACCAAGAGCTCTTCTCCTGGCTCAATTTCTTTAATAACTTTATAATAGATCTGGGAATCAGAAACAAAAATTGAGAGACATGTTAAATATGCAAAGACTTGCACTTTACATTTTCCCCAATAACTGCAATGACTCCAGCTAACAGGGGAGGCTGTCACTTGGGTTGGGATGATTGCTGCTGAGAGCTCGTTTTTCTGCCTTTATTTGGCTCTCTGGGTGTCAGCATTTCACAGGGCTGGGACAACAGGGAAATATTTTGGGTAACAGTCTCTCTTCTTCAAATCACACAAAATCTTCCCTTTGTTTTCCCTCCTCCTCTAAGTCAGTGTGTTTGTTACAGCGAGGGGAAGGTTAAACTGATGGAAGGGACACATTTAACTCTCTGCTCCCTGGGCTGAGATTGGCCTGATGGTTAGAGCTGAATTATCACTTCTTCACGGAATCATTTTGGAGATTATTCTCCCCTACAGCTGAGACCTGACCCCTAAGGACAAGATCTGAATCACTCCAGGTCAGCAGCTTATTCTGAGCTCCCATCTGAGCACAGACCCTGGACCTTCCAAAATGTCCCAAGCACAGCACTGTTCACCTGCTGAACCTCTGTCACTGCACAGGGGGAAACCCCAAAACAGAAACAGGATTGAGACAAGGGCAGAGCCCATGTCCCAGCTGCACTGGGAGGGAGCAGAACATGGATTAAAGGATACCTGGGCTTTACACAGCTTTCCTGAACCAAAATGAATCCTGGCACTCCAAGGATATCTAGAAAATATTCCAGTGAGAAAGAAATCTCCTTCATCCAAGGTGCAATGACATGTAACATTGCACTAACATAGTGTATGTTTTTAGACATGCCACACACTGAACTTTACTGTTCTTCCCTCAAACCCCACAGAAACCAGGGCAGCAGGTCTGGTGACAGGTGGGTCACACATGAGTGGACCCCAAAGGCCTCATTCCTTCTGACAAAATGGCAGGAATTCCTGGGGAAGAAGAGTGGCTGATAGTGGATTACGCGTAAGAGATGCTCCAGTCCCTTAATCTTCCTCGTAGCCTCCACTGGACCTGCTCCAAGAGCTCCATGTCTCTCTTGGGCTGAGGAGATTTGGTGTCTTCCACGTTTCCCAAATTTTTAGAGTACACTGGACCCTGCCCTCTTCTAACACAATACCACAAGAATTCACCTGATAACAATTATTAACTGCCAAGTTTCCTTAGCACTGCCTTCAACAGCAAAGCAATAAATTATTTTTCAGGATAAGAAGTACAATGTACCCAGAATGACTGCCTAAACTCGCTGCCCCTCAGCCTCTGCCAGCCTGCGCTTATGGAGAAGAAAGACACAGAACTCCTGAAGTCCTGCCCGGGCTGCAATAATTGTGCCAACACGATGATTTTTCCTTCCCAGAGTCCCCTCCCCTCCCTCCTTGGAATGCGAGGCCCTGGCACACGGGTGGCCCCGAGCCCGGCAGGAGCAAGAGATGCTCGGGCTGCTCCCGAATTGTCCTCCCTGTCCTGGAGTTGCTGCTGCGGGGAGATGTGACCGCCCGGAGATGGGAGTGATCCCAGGGAGCTGCAGGGACACGGGGCATCCATCGCTCCCAGAGCCACCTCTCGGAGCGGCGGGGACCGGGCAGTCCAGTTCCCGGAGCTCGGAACCTTCCCTCTACACCGAGTTCGGGACACTCCCGACAGATCCGCCCGCGTTACACCGAGTGCCGGAACGGCCGCGACCCGCCAGTCCCTGCACTGTCCCGGTCCCCGAACTGCCCCAGTCCCTGCACCGTCCCAGTCCCCGCACAGGTCACACACGAGCTCCCGCAGCTCCAGGAGCGCTGCCCTTCTCCATCCCGCGGGCACCGCTCCGGGATAACGCGCTCGCTCCGCCGTCCCTCCCGCTCCCGCTCCCGCGGGGGATGGCGAGGGCTGTCCCGCCGGCGCACCGGGATTCCCACCTCCCCCCGGGACACAGCGAGCAAAACTTGCCGGCGGGGAGCGCTCCCGCAGCTGCCGGGACCGGGAGCGGGGGCAGGAGCGGGATGGGGAGCGAGAGAGGGACCGGGAGGGGACCGGGAGCGATGCCCCCGCCCGCCCCAGCAGGTGGCACACGCCGCCCGCTCCCGGCCCCGCTCCCGATCCCGGTCCCCCCGCGGGGTCCCCCCCGGCCCCCGGTGCCGGCCCCGGGCTCTGGAGCGGCTCGGGCCGGGCCGGCCGGGGCTGGACGGGGCTGGACGGGGCGGGGGCCGCCTGACCTGTCGCTCTGTCCCTTCGGCCGCTCCGCTCCTCCGGTGCCGGTGGACGGGCCCGGTCGCAGGGAGGGCAGGGAAGGGGAAAGGAAGGGGAGGGGAGGGAAGGGCAGCCGGGCCGTGTCTCTGCAGCAGCTCCAAGCGCTGCCCGGGGCGGACGGAGACACAACCGCCCCCCTGACCCGCGTGTCGCGGCCCCCGCGCGCTGCGGGGCGGCCCTTACGGGAGCTCCGGTGCAGCTCCGACATCCCGGCCCGCACCGGCTGCTCGCCGTGCCCGGCTGCCTCCCTCCATCCCCTCCTCAGCACTCCCTGCACCTCCCCACAGCCCCACTCGCTGACTCCCCGGGATCTCGGTCCCTGTGTGCCCACCCAGCACTGCCCGGCGGGGCAGGCCGGGGGATCTCCCACCGAGAGTTTCCAAGCAGTGACACGGCCACAAACACAAATGTTTGGGATGAGAAATGAAATCCAACTGCTTGCCATTGATAAGATGCCTCAAAGGGCACAGAAACCCATCCCCGCGCCTGCCAGAATCCTCAGTGTAATTCCATCACTGGTTCCCCCTGGTTTGCAAACAGTTCTTCCGTGGCAGACACTCTGTCCCCACCCAGCTCAGAGCCCAAAACAGGCACCTGGTGCCAAAGGCAGCGTCCGAGGATCTCGCTGTACAGCTGAGAGACCCTCGGGTGGGAACTCCCGAGCAGCACCGAGCTGACAGCAGGACACTCATCTGTGCACAGGTGAGCACAGTTCTGAGAGGTCCCACTGCCCTGCTCCACAGGGATGGGAGGGTTCATTTCTGTGAATTCCACTGCAAACCAAAAGTTCCACAAAATTCACCATTTTCTCATTATCTTTTTCATTTGCACTTCAACGCTCTTCCCTACTTGTTCAACAAGAAAAGCTTTTCCCAGGACCAAACCACATTGAGCTTAATGGGAAAAATGCCTGGAAAAAAGCAAAGGACAGCCTAGGAGTGAGCCCAGAGCTCAGGGCTGAGTCAGAAAAACAGGACTCGGGATGACCCAAGCTAAGAGAAAAAAGAAAAAAAAAATTGCTATTTACAGACATTTCTCTTGCAGCTGGTAACCCAAACCCAAACCAGCACTAAAACACAAACCACGGTCTAAAAGGTCCATCTAGTTCATAGATACAGTCACAAATTTTACACTGAAAAATCCTTCAGAATTACCCTGCCAAAGGCTGACACTGCCCCTGTGTCACCCTTTAGCTCCTTTTCCTCTCCTGTTTGTTCTCAGAACAAAGTAGCTCCTTGTATTTAAAAGCGTCTCTGCAGTCTTTCCAGAAATATAGGACAAGCTTCATTAATGATCAGGGAAAAGCTGGATTCTGCTGGAGTCACATTAATTTCATCAAACATTTCATTATAATAATTAACTTCATCTTGCAATCGTGTTACTGATGGTCCGGATTCATTAAAACCACTGCTGTGTTTCCTCTCCTTTTTTATTTCTTGTGCACCGAAAAAACTCGGATTTACTAAACCAGCAGAAGATTTACATTCATAAATCAATTATGGTCATTTATAGAAAAGCTCCAAACATGACCATTTCTCATTTCCCACCACAGAATAGGCAACTCTCTTAATTACCAGTTTAATTTAACACTAAATAGTTAACAGGATAACTAGGGTTTGGTAGTGCTCTCAGGGATGACTGAAAATATCAATAAAAAAAAATTTCTTGATTTTTATCAAAATTATTCTGGGCACGGGGCACCGAAGAGAGAAAAAAATAAAAAGAAAATATATTAAAAAAATGAAGGTAAAAATAAGCCGGAGGAGCCCTTTTCCAGTCTGGGTTGGAACACGGATCTGCTGTGTGGCCGCTGCTGTGGCTGTGAGCTCGGGGCAGCAGAAAGCTGGCTCTGCCTGCAGCAGTTTGCAGCTAAACCAAAGCAATTTGGTCCAAACACAGAAATATCGGTGCTGCAGAACCACAACCACACTCCGAGGCTGATCTCGCTCAGAGCCCGGCACCACGTAACCGGAGCTGGGCATCCTTCCCTCCGAGGAAAAGCGTCCGGGAGCAGCCGGAGCCCCGGGACGAGGCGGGGACGTTTCACCGTCCCCAGGGCAAGGGACGAACCGCGGCGAGGGAGAAAAGCCCGTCCCAGAACCACCTCCCTGCCGAGGACCCTCCGCAGGACCCCCCCTGTTACTGCTGCCCGAGTTCCAGCCGGGACCCGTCTGAGCCCCGACACAGCCACACGTTCGTGCTTTGGGGGGGACAGAGAGCACCAGAGAGGGGAGAAGAACAGCTGCATTTACCCAAAGACCAAAAACCCACCCACCCACCCGAGGCATCGGCTGCAGCAGAGGAGCTCCACAATTCAAAACCGGCTGAAAAACGGCTCTTTACGTTCTCCTCTCACAAATAATGATCCCCAGCAGCCGGGCAGGGTTTGTACCTCCTGCCCTCCCACTGCCAGCCCCGTCCCGGTGCCCGGGAGGAGCGGACACGGCGAGAAGTTTGGCCTTGTGCACGCACAGCCAGGATGGGGCTGCACGTTCTGCTTTTGTTCCCGTGTTTTCCTCCTTTGGAATCGCCTTCCCTTTGTCTCAGCTGAGCCACATTGCTTTTTATTTCCTCTTTTTTAAGGCGCTGTGTTATGTACCCGGGGATCCCAAACGGAGTCACCAAACACGTGTGTAAAACACAGAAACCCCCTGCAACACACACACTCCTCACAGAGGTTATTAAACACAGGCCCGATTTTTTCCATCCCCTGTTACTCCTTTTATTCCCCAATATCTGCATCCCGAATAAAAGCTGCAGCTATCACCCTGGAAGCCAGCTCAGGCCATTATCTTTATTACAGAGATTCTGTTTAATATTACAGACTCCTGAACTGCTCAAGTATTTTCCTCATGAAGGCAGCAGTAGCAACAGGAAAAAATAAAACATTTTCCAGACATATTTAGTAAATCATATCATTTTTCTACCATTTTTTTCAGTCCTCCTTCAGAATCACAATTATCTCAGTCAATCAAGGATATCTTCTATTCTTTTCAAATACCTATTCAGCATGAATAAATATAAAGAAAACGGGCTAACGTTATTCTACCTGTGAAAATTGGCTCCACAATTGAAAAATAGTTAATGAAATGTCTCAATTAATCTCTTTCTAACTAGAAATACATTTTAAATACATTACAATCTGTAATGGGGGGGATCATTCAACAGTCCAGATTCTGCTGTCAATTACTTCACTAGAAATTTTATTTTGAGTCTTTAAGAATTCAAATACTCTTGTGTTGTGGGGGGTTATATTCAAAAGGCACCTTGGCCACTCGGGAATTATGAATTCACTGAGTTTGATGAAAGCCCAGAGCAGCTGATAACATCCTTAAAAGTCCTTCACAGATCCAAATGTACCTCCTGTTTGCTGACAGGTAACAGCAGCAGGACAGGATTTCTCATTTAAGTTGGGTCTGAAACAGTGACTTGCATTTGATTTGGACTCGACTGGAGGTTTGTGAAACTCTCAACGAGGATTGCTCATCCTGAATCCATTTTTGGGTTTAAGCTTCAGAGAACTTTGCAAACTTTGGCAGACCTCATCAAATTCCTATTAATTCCATGTAACACCCTTCACTCACACCCCCCCAGCACTGCTGTCACCTGCCTAGGAGGGTTCCACCTGCCCTCCTCCTCCTCAGCAGACTCCCAAACCATCTCCTGCTCTCCTCTTCAAGGCAGACACCAGCAGAGTTTCCAGCCTGGCACTGTGCTCCCCACCCAGCCCTGCCCACGGTTCCCATGGCCATGACCCCCAGCACTGCTTTCCACCCTTCTCAGTGTGTTCTGTCACCATCACCCGTGTTCACATCATCTGCTTCACCACCAGAGGAGTCAGGGGCTGCAGGATCTGCACTCTGGAGGTCCCAGGGACACCCCAGTGGAGCTGCTGAGCAGATCAGTGCCTTGGCTGGCTCCTTTCAGTGCTGCCCCTCCACACCACGCCCTGGCCAAGCCCCCAGCCCCTGTGGAGGGGTGGGGTGGGCAGGGCAGCCCCTGCAGGGCCGTTACCTGCTCGTTGAGGTGGCACACAGCCAGGTTCTGCTCATCACAGGAACAGGCCACACGGATGTACTTCAGCCAGCTGCCAGCCCCAGCCTGGCCAGCATCCACACAGAACTTCTCATTGCCCAGGTCGTCAGCAATCTGCAGGAGAACGGGAGAAAGGCACAGGTCAGCTGGCACCAAACGGCAGCTCTGGGGACAGGAGAGGAGGGAAAACTGTTTGCAAGGCAGAACTCTAAACTGGAAACAGAAAAGAGAACACTGGATGACACACACAGCTCACAGAGAGATGACAAGAGTAAAACCAGCTCTCAGCTGTAATCTGAAATTCCGCGTTGGCAGAACCTCTGAGGACATACAGCAGAGTGGTCCAGGAGGAACAGGATCAGGACCACAACTGGAGACAAACACACAGCTCTGGTCTCCACACCAGTCCAAGGAACCAAAGCAGGGAATTCCTCCAAACTCTATTGATTTCAATGACAAGGTCCTTAAACTGCTCCATCTTCACCTTATCTATTTTATCCTTTTGTGCAGGACCAGTTTTAATTACAAATGTTTCAATCCACTTTCAAAACAAGTCACTTTCCACAGCGCTGGGGAATGGTATTTTAAAAAAAACGCTTTAACAAATGATACTTTCATTTATCAAAGTACAGCATCAGAAATCCACTGACCACGTTAGTGGGGCTGAGTGTGAGACACAATTGGGCTTGTGTGCAAAACCAGACCCCTTCCAAACAAAAACCTCCAAATAGAAGTCCAGGTGTGTGGAAAAAAGAGTTAATTAAAGGTCTGTGATTTAAAAGATTACACAGGACACCCTGAAAACAAGGAAAAGGCCTTTGAGCCCAAGCATGGCAAAACCCTGTTCTGCTCCTAAGTGAGCCTCCCTGTTACAGAAACTCCTTTTTTCCTTAGATTTCCCTCTACCCTGACCAGACCCTGTGTCAGTGCAAATTACTTCAGTCATCAGAAGCTCTTAACATGCTTTTACTAGCAATTAATTCTCTCAAAATCTCATGGGATACGATAATACTTTCCCATCTATTTCAAGACAGAGCTAAAAAAAAGAAAAGGTGGGAAAACAAAGGAAAGGAAAAATTAAACCCCAGCGATGACAGCAGCAAGGCTGGGCTGATGTTGCCAGCTGAGACTCTCGTTCCCAGCCCTGAACCCCCAGGACTGCAGGACCTGCCAGCATCCCCAGGAAAGCTCCCACCTCCCTGCACACATTCCCTGGTCCCTCACCTCCTGCACTAACCCTTTCCCACCATTACTCTTTGCCTTCTTCCTTCCTAATCGAACATGGCACTGAGAGTCACTGAAATCCTGCATTTCCTCCCCAGACGTGTGTTTGGGACAGAACTGGGGTAGGAAACAACCTGTATGTGCTCAGTTCCTTCATCCCCTGCCTGGGAACACTCATGGTCACTGACTCTGCCCTGACCAGACCTTTTCTCAAACCCTGGTACTTTCTGGACCCCCTTGTTCACCTCCCCTGAGCTCTGCTGGGAACACCACAGGCCTCAGATGGGGCAGTAATGGCACAAGAAGCCAATTTTAGGTTGTTTGGGCTTTGCAAGAAAAAAAACAACAACAAAAAAGTGTTTGTAACATGGGTTGAAAGACTGTACTAATTCAAGCTAAAATAACCATAACTCCTGTTTTAGCTCAGGGAACTCCAGGAACAGAGGCTGACCAAAGCTATTAAGATTGAAGTGCTTCTCTTGGCCTTACTGATCCCAAATCAAGTGGAGCAGCCAAACCATCACCTCGAGGGGCAGGAGTGGGGACACACCTAATCAGAAAGTGATAACAACTTCCAGGGAATTCGTCTGGAAAACAGAATGAGATGAATCACCGATGCTCAGCTGGTCTGAAGCCACTGAACAGTTTTTAAAGGTTTGAGTAAACAGCAGCCCACAAACCTCCCAATGCCATTAATTTATAAGGCAGCAACTGGTGATGTTCAGTCACCCTGGGAACACGATGTGGAAAACTCCAGGACTACCCAAAAAGGCTGTTTTATTTCACAGCTGTATCTTACAGACACCCTCTCTCATCTTCTAGAATTGTTTGATGAGGACACTCAGATTGTAGAATCACAGACAGATTTGGGTGGGAAGGGACCTCCAGGATCATCTAGTTCCATGGGGAGACAGCTCAAGGAAAGCTCAGAATTTGGCTCAGATTCACTTTGCAGGGTCCTGCTCAGGCTCCAGGGCCAGCTCTGCCTCAGGAGGAGGTTCTGCCATAGCTCGAAATCACCTGAAACTGTGGTTTTATCTGCGTGGGGAAATAAAACCCAAGCTGGGGGTGTGAAAGCTGACAGATCAAAACGAGAAAAAAAAAAGGTTGCATGAAAGCCCTGAGAACTTCAGCTCCTGTTTTTCACACACACTCACTGTACCCCACAAATAGAAGCCAGCACCACGGCCCAAGGCCTGCAGTGGCACTGGAGGGGACTCTGCAAACAGCCATCCCTCCTCGAGTGGGAGGCCTCTGCTGGGATCAATGAGGACCCTTTGAGAAGAAAACAAAGGGGGGAATCAACTGGTCTGAAAGTGCTGCAGGACCAGTCCTGGAGCAGAGGGTGCTCCTGGGTGAGCTCAGCCCTTGGTGGCCAAGACCTCTAATTAAAGCTCGAGTTCACACGCTCACGCTCTCGGCTGATGTTCTGGGCCAGGGTTATTTCACAGCACAAAGAACCCTGAGAAATCCAAAAGCCACCACCAATCACTATCTGCGGTATCTATTTTTTCCTCTGTCGAGTGTGCACACACAGAATAACATTCTAAGTCTCTCTTCCTCCCACCTTAAAAAACTCCGGAAAAACAAGCTGAGACCTTTTACCACATCTTCTTCCAGTTTAGACCAGAAGGAAATCAGAAATTTCCTCTGGCGAAATTCTGCAAACCAACTGCTTACAAGTCGTTGTCAGTAACTAAAAAAAAAAAGAGATTTTCGGTTTGAAAATGCTCCTGGAAAGCTCCTGGAAAATTCATTTTTCAGTGTTTAGAAGAAGTAGGAGCAGCACCAAGAGGTAACTGATGCTCTGAAGAAGGGCGGGTGGGCAGAAAAAAGGGAGGCAAAGAGTGTTGGCTGTGGGTAAACTGAAGGTCCCAGATGGAAGCACAGAGGGATTCACCCTGCAGTGAACTGCTGGAAACCTCAGCTGCACACAGCTACTGGAGTGGGGCTGCACTCACCACAGCACTCCTCTCCAGCTCTGTTAAACCTGGTTGTTCACAGTTAAGACCAGAACTAAGGTCATCCCTACCCAGGACTTATCAGCAGCTTTAATCGTGAGCCCACCCATTCACAGACATCCCTGTTCCCTGGACAGGTAAAGGTTGACATCAGGTATTTACCACCAGCAGCAACAAAAGAGATGCCACAGGAAGGAAAACCCAAGCAGAAGATCCCGTGTAATGAGCAGGACTGTGCCTTGGTGGAGCTGACAGGGAGCAGTTGCAGTTGTTCCTGTGCTCTGTGCTCGGGCTGGCTCTGCACCAGCCAGGCAGTGCAGAGCTCTCTCCAGTGGGTAATTTGGCTCAGACATTAAAAGAAGTTGTCAGAGCAAGAGGAGAGGGGAAAAAAGGTGTGGAGATACGGGAGAGGAGAAAAAAAACCAACATAAATTTATACTTAGTAACTGGCACTGGTTTTGCTGTTCTGTAACCAGTACGTGCTGATACTCCAGCCAGTTTTGGGGCAATGCTCTTCACCCCCTTGATCCTCTCGGATCTGAGGCACAGCATCCCTGTCCCTTGGAGCTGGGCTCCCTGCAGGAACACAGTGTCCCTTTTACCTTGTCCCCATGTTAAACCACGGGTGGGCAGGGACAGCCACGTGCACTTGGGATCTGCTGGAAAAGCAAACTTTCATCTGGACTGTGGCCTGAGGGCTCAGAGAGTTAATTCCCGTGGGAGCATTTCCTCTGCCTCATCTCCCCCATCACTCTTCCACTTGATCCCACCTACCCCACCATGGATTTCTCCCTGCTTTTTTTTTTTTTAACTCAATAAGCCAAAAACTAAGTTCATCTTTTCTCCCTCTGCTTCAGATGGTGAGTTCAGTGTTTATTTATTAACCCACAGCACCTCCCAGGACTTTTGTCTGCAAATCCAGCAGTTCATCGAAGAACTCCCAGTTCCCCTCCTCTTCCCTGCCAGTAACTGTGCCATGACTCTGTCTGGTGGAGTCATTCCCTGTGTTTCCACAGAACACACTCTCCTCCCTGCTCCAGAGTCCCCATCCTCCTCCTCTCCAGGCTATCTGCTCCAAACAAATGCACCCCCATGATCCCTGGGATTACAGGGCTTTGACTGGCCCGCTGCAGAGACAGGGATTTGGGCTGCAGAGCCAGAACGCCGGCTGTGGCTGCGGTTCAGGCTCATCCCTCTCCAGCCAAAAGGAAATTGTTGTCATGTTCCAGGACTCACTTTGCAGCTTCATCTGCCGTCTGCTGCGTGGCGCTCGGGGTTTGGATCCAAAAGGCTTCATTGATCTCGCAGAGGCTCCGTTCCATAATTTATTAACATCAGAAATGCTGAGTTATGGAGCAGAAGTTATGGAAAAATTCGCCTCGAACGTTTACAATTTTTTTTGCACATCATTTGAGGTTTCCTGCTCCCCTAATTTGTGGGCTCTCTGTTGGGTTGTTCCTTTCACGTTTCAATGGGCAGCGTCCAAGGCCTGGCCCCGGCAGAGGTGTGCCGGGGGCCGCAGTGCCTGCGGATCTGTCGTCAGGTCGCTTAATGGATTCCTAGTGTGCATGAAGAAACGAAGCAACCAGGAGTTTGCCATCAGTGACCCAGCGTCCTGTTGCTATAACATCCCTCCCCAGAAGCCCAAAGTGTAATAAACCTTCTCATCCCGTGGTTGCAGGATCTGCCTCTGACAGCTTGGCCGATGTGCGCATTTTATTTGGCAGGAGTTGGAGATTTTTCCTCTTTTTTTCCTCCCCCCCTTTTTGCTTTAATGACCCACGAGCTGATTTAGAGCAATAAACTGTTGCCATGAAGTTTTGTTGTGTTTCTTTTAAATAAAGGGGAGGGAGGGCCTGCTGCAATTTATGACTTTCAGAAGTAACTGAAACAGAAACTCCATTCTTGCCACAAAATGAAGAGAAAAAG